CTGGTGGGGAGTACAGTGGTATCACATGCACTTCCAATAATTTATCAGATGAAGAAAAAAAGAATATATTGAGACTTGGTATTCACTGGAGACAGGAGTTAAGACATTAACTTTATAAGTCAACACGGAAGAAGACAGCAGACGTGAAAAATAGCCTGGCGAGAAGGCGCTGCCGCATTACAAGCTGGGAGCTGGCAAGGGGGACCCTGCCTGTGGTCAGCTCATGGAAAACGGATGCCAGATTCGGCAGCTTGCCACCGCATTGATGCTCACAACAAACACTGAGGCTACGTTAGAGTGGCTGCCAGATCACTGCTGGCTCTCACAACCTCCACGCTGTGGCTGACAGGCAGAGGGAAGGGAGACTCCTGGACTCACCTATGCACTGATCCCTAATACTTAAAATCCACATGCCACTTTATAGCACCTCTTCCTTGACATCCGAGCAGTAATCCTTGGCATTTACACGCTAAGCTTCAGCTACTGAGCTCAAAGGAGAGCTGAGTGCGTTACTCCTGTTTTGCAAGCAGCCAAGAACAGCCAAACAGCTTGTCTGAAGTTGCATTCCATGGGGAGAAACGAGGTCCATATCCTTTTCCTCCTCCTGTGCAGTCAGAACCTCCCTACCTTGCCTTGGCAGACTCCAGCCACTCTCACGGGCAGAGCTCTCAGCCTTCCTGGCTGGCCACGCAGCCCCAGTGCAAATCCTCCCTCTGTGCCTGCTACTTACATGGTCTACTCCACCTGTCAAGCTATCTCCGTGGAGCAGCACTTCAGCAACACATTGGCTCTTGCCAAAGGCTGCGCGAAGCCCGATGGCAGAGCCTGCGCTGTCAGGAGGTGTTTGCTGCCGTTGTTTGAGGTTAGCAGGTGGGCAGGAACCCCCATCCCGCCACCCGACGGCTGGTGGGACACAGCTACATACGGCTCACAAACACGAGCTGCAGGAGGACAGAAGTAAGAAGAGTAACGATGAGCAGAGCTAGACAGGCAGGGAAGCCGAAATACCTGTGTGTGGTATCAATGACTTGCTCGTGCTACCGTTGCCTAAAGCTTCCAGCCCTGGGGATCCTCTGATCCTGTGCTGTTCTGTAATCCAACCTGACAGACCCTTTGGGCCAGGGCTTTTCTTTCGTGAGGTGTTTGCATGGCACCTGACATGGCAAGGCTCTGAGTGTTCAACTCAGCTCCAGGCACAGGACCAGCAGCACCAACACTTTCTCCAAAAAACATAAGGAAACCTCAGCTGTGTTGGGCTGAAGTGTGAACAGACCTCAGACAAACCCAAGAATCACTAATACGTCTTGGAACTAAACTTTGCTCCTTCCTTTCTATCTCTTTTAAAAGAATACTGCTGTGCTGGTTTGGCTGGGGTAGAGTTAATCCCCTTCACAGCAGCTGGTACGGGGCTGTGGTTTGAGTTTGTGCTGGAAACAGCATTGGTCACACCGGGATGGTTTGGTTACTGCTGAGCAGGGCTCACACACAGTCACGGCCTTTTCTGCTCCTCACCCCACCCCACCAGCGAGGCTGGGGGAGCACAAGGAGCTGGGAGGGGACCCAGCTGGGACAGCTGACCCTGACTGACCCAAGGGACACTCCAGACCCTGTGACGTCATGCTCAGCATAGAAAGCTGGGGGAAGAAGGAGGAAGGAGGGGATGTTGGGAGTGATGGCATTTGTCTTCCCAGGTCACTGTTACATGTGCTGGAGCCCTGCTCTCCTGGGGATGGCTGAACACCTGCCTGCCCATGGGAAGTGGTGAAGGAATTCCTTGCTTTGCTTGCATGAGTGGCTTTTGCTTTACCTATCAAACTGCCCTTATCTCAACCCACAAGTTTTCTCGCTTTTACCCTCCCGATACTCTCCCCCATCCTACTGGGAGGAAGCAAGCGAGCGGCTGAGTGGGGCTGAGTTGCCAGATGGGGTTAAACCACGATAATTACTAATAAAACACATTGTAAACAAAAAGCAGGTATAAGATACTGCAGCTGGTGCAGTGTTAATATTCCATGTGAAAAAAGAACAAAAGACACAAGCACCCATCAATAGCAAAGACAAACAAAAATAGAGCTCAAAGCTCTTTGGATACATCTCCTGAAAGTTTCCCTTTAAGTCTCTTTCTCTAACAGGGCTTAAGAACTTATGAAAATACTACACTCTATTTGAAGTTGATACAATCTGCAGTGCAGCCCTTTCCGATTGCAGCTACCCATCTCCCACAGCACGAGAGATACCCACATCGTAAGAAAAGCGTATCACTCTCAGCTTTGTACTCCTTCAACAACAACCAGCTATATCTCCTTCCAGTGGGTTTCACCTCCCTCAGTGACAGTACATCTCCTTTCTAAAGATGAATTAGGACTGATACATTGCCCATGCATGCCAAGATGGAAGGTGGCAACAGCTTCTTTCATTTCTTCCTCCCAGCACAGTGTGGACCACAGCCCTGCTACCCTCACAGCAATGAGACCTTCTTTTATCCTTTTTTTCTTTTGCCAGCTGCTCAAGCGAACACCATAAAAATCCACACCACCACCATAAAAAGTCATTCTTTTCGGCCACTGCATTGGCAAGACCGAAGGTTTAAGCAAGCGGCTGCTTCAGCTCCAGTCCTCCAGCCTACCCCTAAAACAGGCAGCAGATCCAGAGACATACAGACTCATATCATTTCAGTTTCCCCTAGTGTGTTGTACTTTAATCATGTTTCTCTCCCTAGCCCACCCCCAACCCTCTCCTCGCTCAAGAGCTCACCAGTGCCCATACGTTAGAAACGAGCTCGCCTCTGGCGTTGCTGATGCACCGCAGGGAGAGCAGAGCCGGAGGTGGAGTCAGTCGTTTCCACGACAGATTCACCATGTCCCTCACAGCTCTGCAAAACTTAACTTCCCTGGAAGGGTTTCAAGATCTGACTCATGTCCAGTTCTTCTATTTTAATCATTCCCTCTTACATCATCCTCAGAGGCCCACGGTGTCACATGCAAACTCCCCCAGCCCCCCGTTCCGCCTCTGCCGAGCGCTTAATCTGTTGCCGTCCCATCCCAAACAAAGCTAGGTAGAGAAATATATTCGATACTAACTCCTTCCCTACTCTCCAGAGCATCTACCAGCTTTGGATGGCAGCTAATAAGGGCTTCAAGAGCTCTTCATCGCAACAACAACACTGAAATAGAACAGGAGCAGTAGTCGCGCCAGCAAACCTAGTGCCGCGGGAGACCAGAAAAATCACAGCAGGCTCACTGCCACTGCAAACCAGCTGGGAGACAGCACAGGTCAGGAGATAAGTGTTGGGAAAGGAACCAGGTCAGCTGGTTCCTACTTTCCATTCTCCCAGTCACTTCCTGAATAACTCTGGATGTCGCTTAATCTTTTTGTTCACGCTCGGAAGTACAAATCATCAGCATCGGTTCATTCAAGATTTCTTATTAAACCTGATACCATGAAACGGGGACGGAGCCAAAACCCTGAAAGAGCCGAGGAGAACAAAGGTGCTCACGCGCAGCCGTTTAATCCCTTCTCTAGATCCCAGCCCAAACGCCTCCACGGTTGAGAGATTCCCCGCTGATCTCAGGGGAGCCCCTTGTTTGTAACAGTGACCGCCAGACAAAAACTCTTGCCTGGAAGATTACAAACGCCAGCCAGAGAACAGCTGGAACGCTTTGAGCCTCCAGCGTGCTCTGTGCCGAAACAAGGCAGAGAGCAGAAACCCTGTACCTAACGACAGTTGCTTTGTTTGTTTTACTCTGGTCAATGAGTCATCGTTACATCGACCCGCTCTCTGCAATTATTCATCGCAGAGGTTTCTGGTGCGACCAGCCGCTTACAAAACCCTAAGAGCTGGTACGGATTTCCACTACCCTCCTCCAAAAAATCTGCTTGAGCTCCCCCAGTCCCAGAGAGAGAACAGCCCGCCGGGATGAATGGGGCACTGTCGGGACGTTTGCATGGCTTTTACTGTGAGAACAGCAGCGAGCGGTAGGCGTGGGACTCCTGGAAAGCACGCGCTTGCATGCGAGGGTGACAAGGGGAAAGCACTGGATTTTTCCGTGTGTGGGTGAGTGGACATTTTACAAGGAGCCTGTGAGAGCAATGATGTCAGGAGATGGAGAAAAACTCAGGCTAACATGAAGGACAAGGTGCAAAGGCAATGAGACACACCAGAGCACGAACGTGCCTGATCTCTGCTGACTCCTGGCACCAAAAACTTTACACATTTCGCTAGAGGAAGCACACAGAATTGCTTGGAAGAAGGCTGATGTGGGAAAGGCTTCCCTTTCTGTCCTTTCTGTTTCCTCTACTCATTTCAGTGCTTTTCCCACCTGCTTTTCTTTTGCTTTTCACTGCAGTCAGCACAAATCCCCTTCTTCTATGCAGCTCTCACAGTTTCCACCACCTCTTTCCTCCTGGCCAAGCTCTCAAATCTACCTGGTCTTCTTGTTCCTTAAACATGTCTTCATCTGATCTGTTACTGCTTTAACCCTGTACCACTGCCAAGGACAGAAAGGTTTCTGTACAAAAGTGCACCTGCATTATACAAACCAGACGGAACAAGGGTTGGAGAGAATCACTGCAAAAAGCAGCAGACGTGGTGGGACTGGTGGGAGCACAAAGCAGTAGATGTAACAGGGTGAGCACAGACACCCAGGATGCTGCAATCATGGGGGGAATTAAAAAGTGCGTTTAGGGAAGAGACTGGCCAGAGGAAGGACATTGCAGAAGAGAATCCGAGAAGTGTAGGATGCAAGGGAGCATGGAGACAATGGAGACAGAGTGAAAAGAACAAAACAGCCTGTGAAGTGGGCAGAGCAGGAAAGAAAGGAAGAGAATAATATTTGTAACTTCAGTTTTCTTCCTGCTTGAGACAAGAGACATGGAAAGGTTTGTTTGATCTCCCTGTTTAGTTCCCATCAGAAGACATGAAGGGACCCAGCCAAAAGCCAGATGTTTTGTTTCCAGTTTCATTCAACAAGGTCTGCATAATAGACGAGGAAAAACTTTACCGGCCTACCCATCTTGCCCCTCTTCCCAGGAACTCCAGGGATCCCCTGCAAGGAAAACACACAGAGAAAAAAAAATAACAGGTCTGGTTGAGAAAGCAAACAGCCAACCAACAGCACAAAACAAAACTAGAAGAGAAAGGGGAATGCAGGACAGGCTAATGACTGCGGCATTGTTCAGGAATCAAAATGTCAGCTACTTGCAGTCAGCTGCGAGAGCAGAAGACAATTAACCTTCACGCACTAACTACGGCCCTCCCTGAGGACACACACGCGCAGCATCCACACCCAGGGCAACAGGCTGAGGCTGTGCTTAGCAGGAGCAGTCATTAAGCTACTGGTCTGGAACCGAATGAAGGCCACCACCAAGGCACTCGCTGGAGAACTTCTGTTTATGTTTCTTATTTAGTTATACAAGCATTAAATCAGCGAGTCCAGAGCGCAGGGTAGTTCCCTCTCAGGCAGGCACACACACACCGCTTGCTCCCACGTGCTCCTGGGGCCTCTATTGTTTCTGGAGCTTGCATTTGAGGGAGAGAAAGCTGGAATAAAAGAGTCTTCATCTTACAGTGACCTTCCTTAGAAGCTCTTACAGTGGGAAGAGGGAGTCCTTGGATGGGTAGAGATCAGGCAGGTGGGGGGACGTGGGGGAAAAGAGCAGAAAAGCAAGGGAGGTTCTGCAAAACTCTGAAGATGTGGGTTTGGAGAAGGGACGATGAGAAGGATGGGGGGGAAGGGAGGACACATGGGAACAGCAGCCACAGCTGCCCATCCACAGGCTTCAGTCTTGACTGCCCAACTCAATGCAACTGGAAGGAAAGCCCTTCTCAGAAAGCCTCAGGAACTGTACCTTCCAAGGGGCAGGCTCTTTCCAGACACCTCTAGTTGGACACCCAAAACACTGAGACACTGTGGCTGAGATATCACTCTTGTGGGAGCAGGGAATTTCCACATACATTCTCCCCGTCGCCCCATCTCACTAAAATGAACTAATAAGGAGGAGAAAGGCAGGTTTTTAGGTGAAGGAAAATATAGAAAAACTCCTCTCTGCTCAACAGTGAGGTCTGATGACACTGTCTAAAGCCTAGGTTTTCTTGAGCTGAATGTCAACGTCATACAAGGACACAGGTCTTCATGCAAGGGTAGAAAAAGGCTAAAGAAGGCATGGTTAAACATTAGACACGCTCGTCTCTTTCCTCAGGGACAAGGGATAGAGAAGGTTACAACAGGCTCTGAAGAACCGTATTCAAGCAACACACCAAGGTTTTCTTCACAAAATACTCACTCGTTCTCCATCAGCCCCTGGTAGCCCAAATAATCCTGGGAGACCAATATATCCCTAAAGAAAAGAGGAAACAAGTAGTCAAATACATTTCTCCACTAGTGACCAGTCAGTCTGTCTTTCCTGAACAGCAGAGCATCCTCCAGCGTTGGTCAATGGCAGCCGTGATGAAATAAACCTTGAGGCAAGTGTATATGCCCATGGACTGCATGGTGCTGGCTTCCACGATGTAGTCCAAGGGCACATACCCTCACACCAGGGATCATGAGGACTCCAGGTAGGAAGAGGCCAGCAAGAAGAAACCTTACCTGGGCTGGCTCTGAGTGTACCTGAGGGAAACAGCGCTTGGTTCAAGGTTAGCAAGTGTGATAGTGAAAGTACATGCCTACACCTCCTTTTATCTCTCTGAGGGCTCTTCCCCTGCCTTTGGCACTTGTTCCCAACTGTGCTGCAAAAATGATCGTGGCACCAAGCCTCTTCTGCTTGTCACATGCTGGTTGCACAGTGCAGCCCCTTCTCATGCAAACAACACCTTTTGACAGGAGAGGCTCCTTTCTCGCCACCCTGTTGCTGAGAGAGGAGTAAATCAGTAATGGTTCTGCCTAAAGCCTTTCCCTGCAAACTCAGTTGCACCATCAAGACCTTTTGCAAATACTTTGTCAACCTGAGCACCAAGGGCCCTACCTGGGCAGGGAGAGGCTGAGCATGCCATCTCAGCCTCTTGGGATTGGTGTACGAGGCTCAACTTGTACATACATGCAGGTCCTCTGACACCCAACTGTAAAGAAGTCTCCTTTGCACCAAGCTATTTCACATAAAATCTGCTCCTTTCACTCTCATCGACAGGCATCGCGTTTTCAAGTATGCGACGTTTCTCTACGGTGTTAGGATCCCGCTCAGACAACACAAATGCTGCGTTTCCCTTCCCTTGTGACAATCGAAGCCTTGTGTCTAATCCCCTTTGCTCAGCAGTTAGTACAAAGTTACCTTGTGTGCTGGTCCTTGCAAAGGAGTAATTTGTGCCAAACATGCAGAACCAAGAGGAAGTGAATTTCAGCAGGGAGCACCTCATTGTTGCAAGAGTCAAGTGTTAACACTGATTTTTCTCTCATCTTTCTTTCTCTATCATCACTACATCTCTTACTGTCAACCCCACCAAATTTTTTCACTAGTCCACTGCTCCCTTTAGGTTGCACTTCCTTTAGGGATGGTACCTAGCCAGCCAGGAAATATGGTCACATTAAAATGAGGCTGTCTGCTTTTGCCTCCTGAACCCCAACGACAAACCATGTAACTCCTGAACTACTTCCTGCAGAAGAAAAAAATAGAGGTGAGAAATAGAGAAGAGTCCACAGTTGGCTCCCTCGATCCACAAAATGCAGGTATCTCATTTTAGTACCCAATTCTGATCGACTGCAGTTGAACTGAGAAATGGCTTTCTTGGGTATCTTATGAATATTTCAGTCCTCAGCGCTCAGGGGTGCAAACCAGAAAGTAATTTTGAAGTCTTACATTCTGCACGTTTACCACATGATAATTACACGAGGTCCTGGTTAGACCAGCGAAGCAAATGCACCAGGGAAAACTTTATCACTTGCAGAAGTGAGGTGAGCAAACTGTGCTATCTCAGATCTTCCTCGCTCCTGCAGTATGTTGAACACGCCATCTCCCTTCCCAGCTCAGGAACACAGCTAGCTACAGGGTCAGCATTTGTTTATTCCTTGCAGTTTTCCTAGTGATGAAAGCCAGCTGGTTGAATTTACTGCATCTAGAGAAAGTATCACATGTTAGAGAAAGGGGGAATTTTATGGGCTGAGAATCTCATTGTGAATTTATAATTGCAGAAAAAGAACAAAATGTGATTAATGAGGGTCTCAATTGGTTAAAAAATAAAAATAATCCTTTGCAATGAGAATGAATCCCCGGCAATTCAATTCGGTGAGCAAAACCAGGCAGAACAGAGATATTAATGTTTGTATTTGCACATGGTTTCAAGATGCTGGCTTGCAATTCTGCATAACGATATAAATCACTCCCAAACTCAGGACTATCCCAAAAGAGCCCATATTCAGCATGGTCAAAGACCGCTGAACCACACTTATTGAAACTAAAGAGGCCTTTGGGAGATGGGGCTTGCAGAGAGCTCAGACTTTGGCCTTTGGTAGGAATTGGTATGCCATTCTTTCCCCTCCTGCAATGTGAGCTCTGGAGGGGCTGACTTTGTATCATCAGCGCTATTGGTGAACTTTGACCTTGGTACGTTCCATGTTTAATTTAAAAAAATTCAGCAGGGCTTCAATGAATAAGCAGTGTGCAGTTCACATCCCCTGAACCCAACAAACTACAGGAACTAGTCTCAGGGTTGCAAAATTAAGCATAAGGTTTCTTGAGAAGCCTTTGGTAAAAACAAGTAGAGAAAAGACAAATGAAAGGCTGCTTACCCGACTGCCTTTTGGACCAGGTTCCCCTATGGGGCCAGGTAAACCCTAGAACAGAAGGGAAAAAACAAAGCCAAATGTGGACAGGCTTTAACTTAACCCAACGAGCAGTGCCAAATCCCCAGCACCGTCCCTGCGTGCTTCTGCTTTCAGCGCCGAGTCCAAGGCGTATCAACAAAGGAGAAAAAAAAGGACAAAATGATACAAATAACAAATCTCCCATTGTTGGGGCACTGGGACTCTGCAGAACCTGAGACTGCTGCACATAGAGAGCCTTCCCCTGGGCTGAGGTGGAGATTTCTGATCATAAAGACCAAAAAGGCAGACGCAGCGGGGTGCGCAGAGGTTGCGTTACACTTCAGACGCGACGTACAGTGATGCTCTGTACCCAGCAGCTCTCCGTTCATCTTCCTGCCTAACTGAACACATGCACCGCGAATGACAAATGTATTTCAATACCTGTTTAGCAAACACAAGCTGGCCTTGATGCAGTGAGAAAGCCCCTCCAATTTCTACAGCCTACAAAGTCACTGAGCGGTGCAGGCACTGCGTGTATCTAACCCTTTTCAGCATCAACAGCTATGGAAAGAATTGAAAACACATTCGTCCTTCTATTTCTATTCCTATTGCTGCTCAAAGTGAAAAAGAATTCTATAAAAATGCATAATGAATTTTTATGTTTATTGTCTCCTAGCAAGTTTCCAGGTCAATTGTTTCCTAGTTCCAAATGTTGTTGTGCTTTTTTGGAAGGAAAGGAAAAATAAAAAAGGCTAAGTCCATATTTTCTTTAGCTGGCAGCACTGCATGCTCAACCTAGGATCCGAAAGTCAGGTTGTGCACTTTCCTGGCTCTTGCATCGTTGCCAAACATTTCAGCGTCGGGGGGAAGTTAACAATCCCGCCTATGATGCACAAATCAAAGCAGAGCCAAGCCCTCTCTCCCCATAGCACTGCAGAGCCAGCACAGCTGACGGGAGTAACAAGTAGTAAAATCTCAGTAAAGTAAACAGCTCTGACGCTGGATACACACAGCATTCAGATATACTGAAAAAAGCTGCCTTTAAAAAAAAAAAAGTCACTTCCCTGACCGAACCACATTTTAAGAAAGCACTTTTGTTCTTCGTATGTCAAGTGCAAAGATTTCACCCTGCTTATCCGATGGGCGGAACGCTGCCATGAATTGCTAAACAGCATTCATTAACCTTGTACGCCCACTATAGCTCCGACCGCTCCATATTAGCCATCTAACACACTTCCACTCCGAGGAGACCCTTGGAATGCAAATGTCTGAGAGCCTGTCAGAGCCTGAATGGAGCCTTTAGTCAGGTGTGTGAAACTCTCAACCAGTTCGACCATCTGCACTCTCCAGCGTGCATCGGTATATTCCACCCAAAATTGGCTAAACAAGGTATCAATTTAATTGCAAATTTAGCACAGTCTGAGGCAGGGGGAAGGCAGACTTGTTCTGCCATCTAGTTCACATTTAGTCCAATAACCTGCACGTCTGGGTAAAAACTCACGTACCAACTCATGACAAAGCTGAAACACCCTTGGCTGACTGCTTGGGGTCTTTGACATCTGCCCAGCTTCTGAGTGACGTACTTGAAGGTAAACATGGTGGAATCCAACATTTATGCGTCCATTTTAGAAAACCATGACAAACTTATTTCACTGTAAAATGTTACAGGGCCAGGTCTTCTGCCCTTCTCCAATAGATTTAGGATCTTATAAATTTTTCCTCTTAATTTCTTTCCTACTACTCAGCATCTTACATCAGTAACACAATAAAGTGTCCAATCTGGATCCATTTTCCTTTGCACACTCCTCTATTCCAAAAGTTGCCTTAGTGCATTTTTTTTCAGAATGAAAACAAAGACTTGGTTTCCTTTCATCATATTTTTTGCAGCTGCAAATATGATTTATATATATATTTATGGTCTATACATAATTTTATATGTATGTTTATATACAAATATGCTAGAGAATTTTACTAGTGAGAGTTAATTTAAATATTTTTGTTCAGTAATACATCATCTTCTTGCCCAGATTTCAAATGTGTTCAACATTGGATGCAAAACGCCCCTAAAAGTGAAGGGTTAGCAGCTTGCAGGAATGTTTCTCTGCTCTGCTGTTTTGCTTTTGTTGTGTTTTTTTTTTTTCCCTGTTGTTATACGGAAGCAAAAATTTGTCAGATTTCCTATAAAAAGTCAGGTTTTATCTGTCATATGCACAAAATACTTTCCAACAACCTTAGAGTTCGTCAGAGTTGAAAGACGGTGTCATTGATACAGCACTTTTGGGAGGAAAGAAGGAAAATATTCAGACGTATTCTAGGGGTCTGCGCTGTCTTTAGTGGGGCATGTATTTAGCAGGGCACGTATTTAGCTACCTGCACACCCATATCCCTAGTCTGTGCACAGCACGATGAGATTTACTGCACCTGCCTGCCAGGATAACCTTTGGCACCTGGACTTCCGTCTGGTCCTCGTTCGCCCTTTGGAAAGAAAAAAAAGAAAAGGTACAGGAGGTAAGGTGAATGTCACTCTTGGAGAGCCTTTTTAGCTGCTTCGTTTCTTCAGCTGGGGAAAACAGTGGGCGGGATGGATTGACCTGATGCTAATTTATAGAGAGAAAGAAAATATTAAAGATAACAGTGGAATGAATTATCGAGGGGGGAAAACCCTCAGAAGCCAAGTCAATAGGTTCCATGCATTAAGCAAGCGTGGCTATTTCTCCTTCCATCTGCAGTGAAAGCAGCAGATAGTTTGAAACAAGGAGGCTAAGAGAAGGTGTAAGGCTGCATCTATATCTGGCATATGGAACAGTTTTACTGGTGGGGAAGCACTGCCAAAATTCTTCAAAACTAAATGGATTTATGTATAATATCCTTTAACATCATTGCTAACAGGGCCTGCTATTCATTGCCTTTTTTTTTTTTCCTGAACTGCAAACATCAGACTTAACCAAATAAAGAGGGGGGAGAAAAGGGGAGAGGGGGAACGGGTTTGGGGAGGGGAATTACATGTTAGTACTTAATACAATGTGGTTACTAAACTCCAGGTGAAATTAATGTAAAAGAAAAAATAAAGGGGCAGTAGGGTAAGCTGGTATTTCTTCCACCACATAAACTTAACATGGTTAAGCAATAAAAATTAGAAATTAAATTTAGAAACTCCAGGGCAGTCTCCTCCCACCAACCTGCTGATGCTCAGTCAGCACATGAGTGCAGCGGCTGGCAGCACGGGAGGTCACCGAGCACCCCCGTGTGTACCGAGCCCCTGGCAGGAGCTGGCTGTCCACACTGGGCAGGCTGCACGGGACCCAGACTAGCATCAGAGTCAGTAAATCCATCCCTCTTATAAGGTACAAGTGCTGAAAACTGGGAAGACTCACCTGGTCTCCAGGGTGACCTGGTGGTCCAGGGTAGCCTTTATATCCCTGTTGAAATAGGATGGAAGAGATGATTAAGAAGGAAAAAAAAAAGAATAATAAAATACTCTGGTTTTGGTTTGAATTTCTCTTTGCAGGTGGAAGCAAAGATCTGAGGAGAAGCAGGTTTTTAGATATGGGATAGCACTACACAATCACACAAGCTTTTAACGTGCTGCTTCGTGCTTGCATCACCCAAACCTGCCGATGTTCCCGGGCTCTGCTGCGATGTGGTGTGGCAGCAGCAGCTGGCACCCGCAGGGGTCTGCCTGGTGGTTACTCAGGAAGGACTTGCTCCAGGAACAGACCTAGAGTTGTATCTACACTCAGATCTATTTGTAATCTACACTTTTAGCAAAGCCATCCCACGGGCTTGTAGGGTGAAATGTTGGCTTTGGGCAAGTTGGGGGACTACACAACACGAGTCACTCGCGTTTCAGAGCGCTCATTTTCACTTTAGAACTTGAAATGCCACAGGAAACATCAAAATAACCATCTACTGTCATTCATCTACGTGTCATTCAATATTGTTTCTAGCTTGAAATTGTCTAGCTCCAGCTTTTCTAATCTAGTTACTACAAAGACAGACAAGATCCAGAGTCCTTCATCATGAAGCTACCTAAAACGGTGAGCAAGTGCTCTCTTAACCTGCTCTCTCTCTGCTGAATTAATTAGAACGAGTTTCTTAATCCAGCTTCCTAGCTGGCAAGTGCTGCAGGCTTCACATCATTCTCACAGGTCTTTCATGAATGTGCTTCAGTTTTTCAGGTTGTTTGTTTGTTTTTCTTTTTTTTTTTTTTTTTTTTTGGAGATGCAGACACTGGAGCAGGACAAAGGTAGCCTGTTCAACAGCAGACTGATCAGTATGTATTTTAAGAGTTTCCTTGCTCCAGGATTTACCTAGAGCTCTCTTCAAACACTGCGTAAATTCTGCAAGTGACAGGCACTTAAGATTTTTTTTTCCTCCCTCTCCTTTATTCTCTTGCTTCAACTATTTAAAACAAACTCCTTTCCATCAAGGAGAGTCAGAGCAGATTGGAAGATTAAATTCAGTTATAGAGATGACTGTTTAGCTGGGCTGTTAGCAAGCTTAAAAAAAAAAGGGGGGCAGAAAATTTAACTTGAAACAAACGGAGAGAGAAAATAAACAAGAAATAATCCTTGCACAAATACTACAGAAATAACAACATGCTTTCAGGGTGGGTTACGATCACTAATTATAACTCAGTCTCTGCCACTCACCCTGTGCCCAGCCAGGGCTCCTGGCACACCCTGCCTGTCTGCCCACCCCACGGGGGAGCATCTCCCTGCTCGGGAAGCCATAACCATCCCAGGTTTGGCCGAGGACTTGGCCTTTTGCTTCACTCAACCAGATTAACCCAGGCCTGTTTCTTGCTCCCAGGTCCACACCTCTGCTTAATGGCTTTTTTATTCTTCCCATGGGCTATTCTAGACCTGCAGCCTAAGCCTCCACTGGCGGAGGGGTGCTGCTCGGGAAGCCATAACCATCCCAGGTTTGGCCGAGGACTTGGCCTTTTGCTTCACTCAACCAGATTAACCCAGGCCTGTTTCTTGCTCCCAGGTCCACACCTCTGCTTAATGGCTTTTTTATTCTTCCCATGGGCTATTCTAGACCTGCAGCTTAAGCCTCCACTGGCGGAGGGGTGCAATGCTCTCAGCCATCCCGGCCACTGCCCACTCCCCTGTACATTCCTTCTTGCTTGTTATTTCAGACATTTTGGCCTGGAAAAACGTCGATTCCCTTTTCACCGATTCTCTCCTGCTTGACCTTGCTGATGTATCACAGCCCGCTCTTCGGACTGAGCTGCACCCCCTGAGAAGGTGGTGCCTGACCTGAAAGACCATTTGGCTACCAGCTAGCCCTTACTTGAACCACCTAGAAGTCCTTTTCCAAATTCTCTTAGTCCGTTTCAGCCAGTGGCTCCTAATTGGAAGTGCTTCAGCAGCTCTTGGAGCAGGACCAGTAGACGGGACTCCCTGCCCCTCGAGATTCTCTCTTGCTTATCCTCTCCCTGACTCCTCGACAGAGGCTCAGCATCAGCAGAAAGGAGGGAGGATGCTCTACCCTGGTTGGGTGTCTGACCTGAAGGTGAAGACACGCTGTGAAGGTCCAGACCCACCTGGGTGTGGAAGGCCCAGTATCAGTATCACCCATCCCTGGAGCGTGGATGGGCAGGGCATTGTGCAGACAGAGACAGTCGCTCCGGTCTCTCCAGCTCCTTTTCCAGAGAGAGCTGCCAACAGAAACAGCCCTGGGTTCAGCATCTCCAGACGTGCCCTGGGATTTAGCACAGAGCCTGTGGGGTTTCCTCCTGGGGCCTCTGCCAGCTCCTCCAGCCACAGTCTGGAGCAGGAACCACCTTTGTCTCCAGACAGCTGGAGCACCTCCTTCCAGGGGTACAAACACTTAGAGAGGTCTCACTCACTCCACTGATAAGAAAGGGGTCCCGAGCTTGGCTGCTCCGAATTGTTCTGCTCTGACTGGGTTCCTGCAGGACAGGCATTTCAAGCCTATGATGCCCACCCAGAGCAGGTGCTTACATGATGGCCCCATGAGATGCTCCAAGCACACCCTGAACTAACGTCTGCACCAGGCATTGCATTGCTACCTCCATAACGGCAACTGAATGGCACTTAAGTTAAATATATAGACAGTCTATTACTGGTGCATCCTATTAAATGTCCTCCTCACTATATATATTGAGCTCTGGGAAGCTTCAAATGTGTGTTTCTTTATAGTTTACTGCAGTTATTTCTGTCTCAGGTTAATTATAGAGAGGAGAAAACAGAAAAGCTTGTGTATGCTAAAGCTGGCTGCAACGTGAAGGTATTTACCTGCTAAAATCCTCTGCAAATAGCACTAAAATGACAGGGCAGAGGGTACGAAAACAACCGAGTTTGCTCTTTTATCCAAACACTTCCTGATGATTACAGGGTGCTCAACACATTTAAAAAGGAAATTGCACTCTGGTGAAGGATTTACTCATCTGTGTTGATATTTATAATCCACCCTCTCGTAGTGAAAAAGGATCATCCTGCACTTTGACAGGAAACGTGAAGAGGCCAGCGAATGAGGTCTGCAGGACAGGGTGTGTTTTGAAGCACTGACCAATTCTCAGCTCTGTCTTTACTCCCTGAGTGACTTTAGCAAAGTTTTGTCTCTCTCACACGTGCCGTCTTACAGAATCACAGAATGGTTTGGGTTGGAAGCGACCTTAAAAGATCACTTAGTCCCAGCCCCCCTGCCATGGGCAGGGACATCCTCCACTACAACAGGTTGCCCAAAGCCTCATCCACCCTGAAGCACTTCGGGGGTGGGGCCAGCCACAACTTCTCTGGGAAACCTGTTCCAGTCCCTCACCACCCTCAGAGGGAAGAATTTCTTCCTTAGATCTAATCTGAATCTCCCCTCTTTCAGTATAAAGCCATTGTCCCTCGTTCTATCACTACATGCCCTTGCAAAATGTCTCTCTCCAACCTTCTTGTAGCCCCTTTAGGTACTGGAAGGCTGCTGGAAGGTCTCCCTGGAGCCTTCTCTTCTCCAGGCTAAACAACCCCAACTATCTCAGCCTGTCTCCATAGAAGAGGGGCTCCAGCCCTCACATCATCTTCATGGCCACCTCTGGACCTGCTCCAACAGCTCCATGTCCTTCTGATGTTGGAGGCACCAGAGCTTAATGCAGCACTGCAGGGTGGGGTCTCATGAGAGCAGAGTAGAGAGACATAATTCCCTCCCTTGACCTGCTGCCCATGCTGCTTGGGATGCAGCCGGGATCCGGTTGGCTTTCTGGGCGGCAAGCACACGCTGCCAGCTCATGTAGAGCTTCTGTTCAACCAACACCTTCAAGTCCTTTTCCTCAGGGCTGCTCTCAATCCATTCTCCGCCCAGCCTGTACTTGTGCTTGGGATTACCCCGACCTATGTGCAAGACCTTGCACTTGGCCTTGTTGAACTTCATGAGGTTCTCACAGGCCCATCTCTCCAGCCTGTCAATGTCCCTCTGGATGGCATCCCTTTCCTCCAGCGTGTCCACCACACCACACAGCTTGGTGTCACCAGCAAACTTGCTGAGGGTGCGCTCAATCCCACTGCCCATATCACCGACAAAGATGTTAAACAGCACCAGCCCCTATACTGGCCCCTGAGGAACACCGCTTATCACTGGTCTCCAACTGGACATTGAGCCATTGACAGCAACTCTGAGTGCGACCATCCAGCCAATTCCTTATCCACTGAGTGGTCCACCCATCAAATCCATGTGTCTCCAATTTAGAGACAAGGATGTCGTGCAGGACAGTGTCAAATGCTTTGGACAAGTCCAGGTAGATGATGTCAGTTGCTCTTCCCTTACCCACCAGCGCTGTAACCCCTTGCACTTTGCTACAACTGTTTTCTCCCCCACAGCACTCGAGGCTGGAGGCAACGGTGCAGTGTCCTGCTGAGGTATATCTGCAAGGCACCTGTAGTCTGCAGCCCCCAACCAAAAACCAAAGTCCAGAGACACCTCATAGGTACACCCAGGAGAAGGGCAGAGGGGAAAGCCAAGTCCTGCCACCATTCCCAAGAACTGCTGGTCAGCAAAAGCAACATCTTCCCTGCAGGGAGAGGATGAGAATTACATCTGCTGCAGTTTCATATACTCGTAGATGGGTGCAGGCAAAACGACTTTGTGGGTGCTCTGAGACCAGACTCTCCAACCCTACAACAAGCAAAGGTCTGCGCTCACAAGGCAGGCACTGCGGTGTGAGCCGCGCTATCCAAACCCATATGCTGCTTGGTTGTGGCTCCAGCTCATGCTGCTGAGCCAGTTGTTTCATTTAGTGGGAAAAGTATTTTGTTTCCCCTGGTGAAATATTTTGCCTATTTGAAAGTTTCTACATGGTGTTTTCAGATCAAAGCCCTTCGAGCTCTTTCCACAGTCCCTCCACGGAGGGAGCAGGAGGGATGTCCATTTCCAAGGCACTGCTGTTTTCTGGTAGCCAAGATGTGTTGCCCACCTTCAGCCAAACACCAGCATATTTTCACTGGGAGAAAGCCAGCAGGGAATCCAGATTGAAAAAAAAAAAAAAAGGTTTTTTTTCCCAAACATTTCTCCAACAGCTGTAAATATTTTCTTAATGCAGGATGCTAATAAAAGCCAGGTTACACCAAAACCACTGCTAGACTAGTGCTACTGGGAGGTGTTTTTTTTTTAAGCTGCACCAAAGGAAAAACTTCAGCATCCAACTTGCTCATTACTTGAAGAAACAGAAGCATACCCCTGCCTTCGCCTTGTCCTGGGGGAGCCGAGATCAGATGTGAAGGCCATGTGCTGGACTCTGGAATGTTTGTTCAATCTCCTGTTCCTTCTCTACTTTTTCCACTATGAGTCCTTGCAGTCCCAACGTTGCATTTTGCTGATCGTAACCACAAGGTTTTGTTTTATGAGCTGTTATACCAGGAAAATGGTATTCTTTGCACCCTGTTTGTTAGAACTCGTTTGTGACGGCACAAGATGGGTAATTAATCCCTTTATTGCTCCTAGCTCTGCACAGCACCCCAAGCACGACCAGCCTCGGGAGCAGAAAAACGAACCTGGCCCCTACTCTTGGCAATTTGATTCCAATATAAAGCATACAACAAACAGTCATGGAGAGGGAGGGTTCCTTGCAGCTTTCTCCACAGCTTTCTCTCCCCAGACTCTTAAAGCATACCTGAGTAGGTGGTTGTCTGCAGCTAATTGGTCTGAGGAACAACATATCTTCAACAGCCCATTGACTGATGAAGTGATTGAAACAAGATGTTGATTTTAATGGTTCAGCTTGGCCATGTCAACACTGGCTTACTGGGAAGGCGAGTTACATCTGCTGAGCCCAGCTACCAAACAGCTCCCTGCAACAGGTCCAGCTTCCCAAAAACCAAACCGACCTACCAACACAGCCTGGAACTGGAAGGTCAGCTGAAGTGTCCTTGATATATAAAAGGTACAAATGGCCGAGGCGTCTGTGCAGACCTGCATGCAGGAACATGAGCACATGCATGGCTGCAACATGAAGGCAGCGACAGATCTTGTGCTCCATCCTACGTAGCCTTTTCTAGGCATGGGTCTGTTCATGATGATGTTAATGTTGTTGAAACATCAATATGGAAACAAATACAGCAAAACCTGACGAGTGCTGTCAAACTCCAAGCAAAATAGAGGGAAGGCATACAGAAATTTTGTTTGAAACGTGCTTTAGCAGGACAGTCAGTCAAGGTTTCCTGGAATGCCTAAACCTGTTCTGAATCCAGCTTTGAGTACTGATGCTGGTTGTAGATCCACTTCGTTAACATATTGGTTGAACCTGATCTAAGTTCAGCTTCCTGATGAAGACCCAGTGTCGGGGTGCAGAGGGATGATGCAGTGGCAGTGGGATATGAAATACAATAAGAAGGAAGAGAAATCTGGATCCAGAATTTCATTTCATATTCTTACACAGTCTTGCTGGTACAACCGTTAGGCAGTTGCTTCAGCTTAAGTCTCAGTTTATACACCTGTGAAACAGGCGTAAGACTTTTTTTTGCTGGGTACTAGGACTTAATTAAATATTTTAGGCAGAGTTAGAGGAGAAAATTTTAAAATAAAAATACTGATATAATTCAGTAGAAAAGAATACTCTTACCTTTCTACCAGGTGGTCCAGGGAACCCAGTCAAACCAGGTAAGCCCACATCTCCCTGTAGGAAGCAAGAAAGTTGAATTAGTTTTCAGCAATGTTTTCCCCATGCCCAGTGTACTGTTACTGAAATTATTTTGTGAACAGTAGCACACAACTATTGATATTTCTGATTCTAATCACAACTGACTGATGAGAAATGTAGAATTAGACATCTCTGTTAACTGGCTCATATAAATAATAAATCCAGTTAATTAATGGCAGCTGCTGCTGGAGTCTAGCTTTTTGCCAGCAGAATGAATGCTTTTTTTTCCTCTCTTTTTTCCTCTTTTTTTTTTTTCAACGATCTCACTCAGTCAACATGCTTCATTCGCCTTTTGATAGGCATTTAAATCCCCAAGGCAAGAAAATTTTAGCTTTTAAATGCAATAAGAACAACAGGTACCTCCTGCCAAATTCTGAGATTGTGCTCACACTCAGCTACTGCACTGGTTCAGCCCACGGCTCCCGTTCAGACGACGCTGATGGTGTAATTATTTAACCTGCCCATATGACACAACTCGAACCTCTGCAGGCTACTGGGGGAACGGGTTTTTCAGTGGCCTGTGCTTTTGATAAGGGATTGCATCGTGTCTCAGCTGGCATATCCAAATCATCATAGAAACAGAGAAGAACATTGCTAAGAGACCTCTCTAACCCCCAATCCATTTGCACAAGCCCATTCTGGCCTCCTCTGATTAGGATCAGAAACCCCTTTAGCGTCCCTAACGCTGTGCTATGCCTGCTTACCGAAAATGCATTTGGAGTATCTAGCTTGAAAATTAGGCATCACTCCAAACTCCTGCTGGAAACTCCTTGTTTCTATTACTGCTAACAGGAATAAAGCCTTGTTAACACAAGCAAAAAGTGATCTGGATCTCTCCCTTTCTTACACTGAGCATGCCTGCAAGAAAACGGTTCCAGACTCTGCGGGTGGATGGTTTCCATGTGATGCCATTCCGACGTAGTGGACCAGAAATTTCAAAAGGCATCTCGTGCTGTTCAGTTAAAAGCATCGTTTCAGACTTGGCCTTCTCAACGGTTTCTAGCGTCACCCTCCATCTTGCATTTGTGTGGCTTAGCTGTGCTTCACGGAGGCGTCTGGTTTCAAACGAAGGGCCGAAGTACTTCACGGCTGATGCTTTCAATTAGCTGTGCATTTATAGCAAGGCTTATGATGAAAGGAAGAGAACCAGGCTTCTTGCCCTGCACATGAGTTATGAAGTATTGTGCAGGCACCATTGAAAGAACTAATCGAGGTAGGTGTTGTGGCGCCCTGATCGCTCTGCTACGCATTTCTAGACTTCTCTGATCGCTCTACTACGCATTTCTGGACTTCTGTGAGCCCTTGTTGCCCCAGTAAAAATCGCTCAGCTGTGAAACAGCAAAAAAGGGAGTTGTAACTTATTGAAAAGAATTAGCAGAACTCTTCTCCTTAGCAGTTGCTAAATCCAGAAACCAGCTATGCCTCCCAGTTGTGTGCTTTGGGTTGATTTGAGTGGGCCTTGGTGGAAGGGCCTCTGGTTATCACAAAGCAAGGTCCGTGCGTTGGCAGTGCAATGGTCTGAGAACCTCCATTCTCCACCAGCAGGACAGCAAGGCTGCTCTCAGCACAACCACCTGAGGCGAAGCACCGTTCCTCAGCTCCTCAGCAAGAGCATCCTTTCCTTTGCCTTCAAAGGTTTTTGTGCTTACACTGGGATTGCCTTTTTCTACAGCAGCATGCCCAGAGCTGGCAGAGTGTGGCTGTACCCCCTGTGCACTGGTTTTAGGATCTACCTTAAGTAGCCACGTGCCTACAGCAGCAGGGACGCAAGTTTGGGCTGTGGATTGTGCATAAAATAGATAAACACTCTGACAATGGAAGGGCTGTGGCAGCAGGCACTTCAGCGCACTGTGGTCAATACCTTTGCTAACTCTCTTTAGCCCTGAATCCCAGAGTCTAACGCTTAATTTTCTAAGTCCTAAGTCTACCTGAGTAGCTGTGATGCTTGTGGCTGCAGCATGGACTCTCTCCGTGTCAATGCACAGGGCTTAAAGCACAATGTGGTCTCCATGCCTGTGCACTCTGGGCAACATCTTACCTTCTGTCCATTGCGAGCTTTTCCAGGCGATAACCCAGGATCACCTTTCTGACCCTGAAATGAAAAACTTACATTAATGACGTAATGCAATCACCCAGCCCATCGACGTGGTTCTGCTTCCACCCAGCCTCCAAATTAGAAAAACATTTTGTTTTATCTCAGTCTTGGCCCGACATCCCAAATGTATTAAAGTCCCCGAGCGTAGCTGTTTTGCTGGGACTGGTTTTCGTGAGCGATTGCCGCTGCTAAAGCATTGAGTTTTAAATAGTATTTGACAGTATTAAATTGACTAAAGAAAGGATAACTGGAAGAAGGCAACGTCAGGACTTTTGATACTTATTAGACTAGACAGCTGTGATTTCTTCCTTGTCTACAACTATCATCACAAAAATAATTACTAAGCCTATTACTGTGCCTAACTCATCCTTCCTAACGACTTGGGAGACGCTGTTGCTTTTTTAACTGTGGGGAACAGATGAAACTGCAGAGAAAGTTACACTAATTAGACACTACCAACAGTCAGAGCAATCGTGAGGCTTTCAGGCTGGCAAAGGCAAGAGGCACACTTTATCTTAAGTGGCAGTATTCTTTATTTTCCTTTTTAACAACCGTGACGAGAGAAATCACAAGTTAAGACTGTGATCTTCTAATGAAGACAGGCTGGAATTTCAGCAACATTGGAACATCTAATTCCAGAATATTCCTTTGAAAATCCCAGTTCCAGTCCTTCAAAGGTGGAAAGGTGATGTGTGCACCTAACAGGGTGAGAGATAGAAGTAGGAAAAACTAGAAGCGATTTGACGTGTGCCAGATTCTTTTGGCAGGGGAGAGGTAAGGCTCAGCACACAACGCACCTTAGTTGTACATAACATCCCCTCTGGCACAGCCTCGACACGGGTATCCCAGTATCAGTCACTGCCCATTTAACACCCCTGGGATGTTAAACCTCGGTGTGCCACATCAGCAACACGGATTCAAAACCGACTGACAAGCACAGGACAGTTGTGAGGGTTAAGTAATGGCTGTCAAGTGAAGTGCTTGGAGGGAAGGTGAGACCCCACAAGGACTAATAGTATTTATTAACTGGCATTTCTCATCAGTAGCACAAAGGTCTAGTTACAGGTAGCTGAGCAGCTTTTCCGTGGAGTGTCAATGCCACTACGTTCAACACATACTTCCCACCTTGCAGAGAGAGTAAATCTCCCCTTCTCCTCCTCCTCCACCATCCACCACAAGCTGCAGGGTTCAGGGAGTGAGAGACTACTTGGCTGCGGACTGTAGGGAGCACTGCTGATTCAAGGCAGATGCATCTGTACAAATTCTGAAGGAGGGCCGCCTGGTTTCTACACAGTACATGAAGTCATGCAGATAATCTTGCTTTGCATGCAGCTGTTATCAGGGCAATTCTCCCACTCTTTGAGCTTCAGAGCAGTCAGTGGGTGCTACGACTGCTTGGAACAGATTAGAGCAGTCCATAGGATCACAGGGTATTCATTTCTACTCCACAAAATTAATTTACCGCAGTAGGTAGACACCCACCACTCTTCCTAAATCTTGCCATGTGCTCAAAGCAATGACTTTGAGCCATGTAAAGGAATAGAAGCTTCTTGTGTTTTTCCCTGGGAAGCTCCAGATCATATTAGCATGTTATTTAAATCACAGTTCTGCACTCAACACTGCTGAGATCGTCACACAGGTGGAGAACTCAGCCACAAGTAGGATCACACTTCCCTAAGATTAATCAGCAAGATGGCATCAGGGCCAGACCACACCATGGGAATCAGCTTAAGCCTTGTCCATCACCAAGCCATGGCACCTCGCCCACAAGCTTTTCTCCCATCCCAGCTGACTGAGCATGCTACTTCCTCTTGTAAAGGAAGAAATCGTTTTCTTCTGTTTTTTCCCTACCTGGAAGAAGTCTAGAGCTGTACAATTTAAACACCTCAGCTTTGCAATGCCACTAATAGTATTTTAAACACCAATGAGCCAAACTGATGAGCTGTCTTGGAGCCAAACCATTCACTAAAAGGAAAATTCAATTTTTCCAGCACTATAAGAAGAGAGATTTATGCAGAGCAGCTAACTAAGCAAACCATACTAATGCCTGATGCCAAAAGCCTCCAGATGAGAGATGCAAACCCAACTCTTGTAATGGCTTTCAAAAAACACACCCTGTTTGACAGCCAACCCTCCTCCCAATCCCAAACTCTATTAGGGCATCCTTGGAGCTACACCTAGTTGTTAGCAAAAACATCCCTTCTGCCCCGACCAACAGCTTACAGGTCACACAGCCGGCCACAACCCTAGCCCAGCGTATGTCTATATCTACTGTAATCAGTCTTTGCTAACTAGATGCAATAGCCATTTTCCAACTGCCCAGGACACCAAAGAGAATGCAAAAAGGGGCAGGAAGCCCCTTTAAGTAGTTGCACATTATAAATTGCTGAGAAAGCACAATGGGCTAAATTCTCAGGTGGCATGAGTGGGTGTAGTACCACTGAAGTCAGTGGAACTGTGCCCAAGCAGATTAGTGGGAATTTGGCTCAACAGCTACGCACAGCTCTGCACAAAAGATCAGCTTCCTAAGTACAAGGGCCTGCAAGTGCTCAGCTCCAGTGATGAGAAGATGATGGACTCTGTGCAGGATAGATTCACAAACGCAGCAGTCTGACAACACAATGCTGGTGCTCACCAACACAACACAACTGGACAAGAGACGTGCACAAACGTGGACACCTCCGCCAGCTGCGATGCTGCATCACCTCCCTCTCATGCAGCTGATTGTCTGACCTTGTGAGCTGCTTGTTAGTGCAGCTGATAAAACTTTGCTTCTGGGTTACTTCCTAAGTGACAATGACTTGGCGTTAGTCATTGTTTCCAAGCGGTATCTATCAGGGAGACTTCAGTTTCCTTTCCTGAATTGCTTGTTTTTTCCATGGTATTAACTGCTATCTAGGGAAGACTTAGTCCAGCAGCCACTTGAAGGCTCTCAGCAAGAGAAGTTCTAGTTGGGGCTGCTTTGCCTTGTCGCCCAGGCTGAGCTTTCGCAAGCCCATAATTTCAGCCATGAGCTGGGTCTACTGAAAAGACATCAGGTCTCAGGTGCAGGCTTGTCAAGCCTGGCAAAGGGTAGAGTCATTTAAAACATAAGGGAGTGAAATACAAATTTCCTGTGGAAAGTCCATCTTCTAGGACTGGTCTAACACCAGAGAAATCAAAACCTGGGGATCTAATACAGACCTTCCAAAAAGTGCTTCATATGCAAAGATCTTGCAAACATGGCTTACCAGGCTCTCCCTACTAGAGGTGAAGTCATGCCCAGGCCAGGGCTGAGCTACAGCTCCCACATCTCATTGCAAACTTCATGCTTCTTTTGACAAAGTATCGTGTAGAACAGCCTAAACCTGCAAATGGTGGCTGGACAAAATTAAAATATATAGCACAGACTGATGACACCATATCTCTGCTGCAGATTACTGCAAGTATTCATCTGCTGAGGGCTTCCTGCTGCCAGACTGCACATCAAGATGGAGAAAAAATGCTTACAGGAAGTTTTTATTCCTAGTAGAAGATCGACTGAATACAGCTTTACAGCCAAATGATGATTTCTGACAAGGCATTAGGCTAAAAGCGTTTTTTAAAAAGAATCCTATAGCATAGAAACAGTGTTTGATGCTACAGATTGGATCAGGCTGAATTTGCAGGACTGGAAGTTAGATAAAAGAACTTTGATTTGACTTATAAAACTCAACAAGTGTGATCTGGAAGTCATTGATGGGGAATAAATGCAGAACACTAAGATGTAGAACTTTTACAGCCTCGCTTTTCAGGTCATATAACTACACTTTAGAATTTAAAACAGCTGCTGTCCACCAGCATGTCTCCAGTGCCTAATTTTTAATCACGTAGAGGCAGCGTGCCAAGTTTCCAGAATCTTTTTCCCAGAGCATCAATAATGTTCATAACATCTCTGCCTACTGATGAGATCATGAAAAGGACGGACTCTTACTTGTACCTTTCTCTATGTTTGGCCGAGACATGCTACAGCTTCCTTACTAGTAAAACCCGCTATTAAGCACTGCCTTTCAAAACTCAACTATTCTTTAGTCCTAGGTAGGTGTTATAAAACATAAATATATTTCTGTGTAAACAATGACACCAAAACAGTCCAAACCAATTTCCCAGGAACTTCACAGTCTTTAGGTAACACAAAACTTTACACACAGGCATGAGCTGGGAATTAAAACATCTTTCTGAAGGGTTTTGCAGCACACTGGAGGAGCTCCCTTCTGGAGCTGCATCTGTGCTGAAGTCTCCTGCAAAGGGAGAAGGTTCAGCTATGGAGGGGTGACTTCCACCTTGCAGAGCTCCAGCTCCCACCTGGCGGCAGCACCACGGGGAGAATGTGGGTACAGGAGAAAAGGGCAAAACACAGGGCTCCTGGCACTGCAGGAGGAGGTCTGAGACCTCGTGGGAGAAATCAGGACATCACTTTGGGAGGAGTGATGGACATCAGGCTTCCCAGAGACTCCGGAGAGGGAAGGAAAGACAAGGGAGTTTCAGGAGGAGGAAGGCAGCAGAAGAAGCCAGATCTTGCCAGTGTCCCCCACTGTTGTCCTGACCTGAAGGTGGAGGAGGTGGCTGCAAAATGCAGAGAAAAGGAATGAGAAAGCCAAGAAATCTGGACCTGGTGAGGCTCTGGAGCAGGAGGATTCCGCTGCCCTGGTCTCGACATAGCAGTTTGCTCCCTGGCACAGGCATAGCTTAAGCAGGATCCTAATTAGGAGGTCTTTGAAATGAGGGAGAACCAAGAATGGAGGCACACAGCAGGGTCTCTCGCAAGCACAGGAAAGGCTGTGCCGCTGGAGGGGCTGTGTGCGGGCGGAGGGGAGGGGAGAAACGTCATTTTGTAGGGAGCAGGATGAAAACACCTCTGCATCCCCCACCGGGACCCCCCCTGAGACAGGAAGGCAAAAGCTCTGTAAGCCAGTTATATACTTACTTTCAGGCCTGGGGGGCCAGGTGAGCCAGGGTTTCCGTGGGGACCTGGGGGACCCTAAAAAACACAACAAATACAAAACAGAGTCAAAGGAGTCAGTGGACATCCGCGTTAGTCCCAGGAGCGGCAGAAAGTCTCTGGCTGCGCTGTAGCCAGACCTGAGCCTGTGCCCCGGCAGGGATCCGGCTTCAACGGGACCCTCGTTAGTGCTGTCGGAGCGGTGAAACCCGGCCACTGGTTCCCACCTACCTTTACAGAAGGTGACACGTCTGTCATCATGAAACGTATCGTGACAATGAGATAATTTGGGTACACCAAAGTTTCCACAACCACAAACTACCTTGGGGTCAGAGAGTCCAAGCTCTGCAAGGAGCCCCGGCAGAAAGAGATGGAGGTGGGAAGACGGGAGCAAAGTGGTGTGGGGGGGTTAACAATTTTTTAAGCAAAAATGGAAGAAAGAGAACAGAAGCAATTACTAAAGGGAAATTGTTCAGCTGTTTGGAATGAACTCATTTCCCCTACAAGGGAATCATATTTTTGCCTTTAAAGGTTAGAAAGAGGATGGATGGACAGACGGTAAAACAGGAGGAGCAGAGGTAAGTCCCTGTTTAAACCATTTCAAACCTGTATTTTTGCATCGGTCTCACAAGCCGATGACACCGTCGGAGCATTCACCTCAGATTGCAAACAGCACCATCCCCTTTTACATCGTATTTTAAAGCACTCTGCATATTTTCCGAAGACTATTTAAGGAGTTATCTGGAATAAGCAGCTAAGAATAGTTTATCCCAGGATTGTATACAGCGCAGAAGATCTGTTAACCTTTCAGGCAGAAGTAATAACAATTCTAAGTCCTCTTGAATACGTTCCTGGGAGATGAAACAACCTGAAGATTCAATTCTAAGGGCTCCTGTTCTGCCAAGACTGTGAGCTTTGCACCACCATGAGGAGCATTTTAATGTACCCTCTGGTTAGGAGGAGTACAGGCTGGGGGATAAAAAGCCACTCAGATGCTTCCTCAGTAAGCTGTAGTATTTCCAATGAGTTCTTCAGCGTAGTGGGGCCAAAACCTTCAGGGTCTGATTTCCAAGGAAAAATCACTGCAGTTAAGCACTTGCCATCCAAGTTCAGTGCCCCTGCTCTCTTTGGAGAGAACATCAGCGCGCTGATGTCTATTCAGTTTTATTTTTACTGCACTGTAATAGACAATAATTTTTTTTTTGTTATTTGTTTAGCTATTGTATCTTGTAGTACAGACAGTTGAGTGCTCACCACTATTTCGCAGCACATGCTACTCTGCTGTAAGAGGCTGTTCACTTAAAAGGCCACAGTTGAACTTTTCAAATGTCATTTTCCACCCAAATAAATTTAATATCCCATTCTTAAATTCCTTCCAAATTTTCAGCCTGAAATTTTCTGATAGTTTGCCCTGGCTGTGAATTTCCAGTGAAACTGAAACAGCTTTAATTAAAATTAAGGAGTTTGAGTACCAACTTGTCATTTGAAAACTCATTTAGCTGCTGCAACCAGAGTAACTGAGCACTGAGTAGTCTTAAATAAATTCATCTTCCCAGCAAACTACAGCATCATCTGTTCACCTCACTGGGTGGGACACTAAACAGAGACTTAATGTGCTGCTTAAGGTAATTCAACAAGTCTGTGGTAGCAAAAGCACTTCAACTCAAGACTTCCAAGTCTCAAATATGTATGAAAATTAATATTAAGTGACAGAAATCAGAACAGTAAAGTCTCTATAAAAGATGAGTTCCTAAAAAGCTCTTACACGTAAGCAATAATTTAGGTAGCTCTGAACAGGGTTCATAAATCCAGATTGCTGCTAGGTTTGAGGAGGGAATTCAGCTGTTATTCAACTTTGGAGTCAGGCAGCTTGGCTCAAAGCCTATTTCAGTGCAGTCAGTTGAAATCTGTGCTCCACTCTAGCCTGAGGCAGGCTTAAAACAGTGTCAGACTGAAAGGAACAGCACTGTTTGGTGTGACTTCTAGCTGAAAATGATAGTTTCCAGGAGGAAACTGGGAACATAGAAAGCTCAGCTGCCGATCAAGAGCTCCTGGATAAGAGACTAATCACTCCTCCAGCAAAATTTGGTGCAGGATCTTCCAGAGCTGAACCAAAGCACAGCAACAAAATCATAAAAAGCCTTAACAAAAGGAGGGAAAAAGGAAGAAAGAATCTAGTCCCAGTATCCAGTGACAAAACATGCGATTATGAAAAACACAAGCTCTTGACATATGATGGAGCCTTTAACCACCAAATTCAATGAGGCTCACAGTATGTAATCCAGGCAAAAGAAGGTCAGAGACCCATCCTGTTCCCAAAGACCAATGTGGTCTTATCCTAGTGAGAAGTGGCCACATCCTGCTGATGAAGCGACAGTGGGAAGTCCAGTCTGGCACACAAGAAACTGCTATAACCAAGTCTGGGGCTTGTGCTAGATGTCTTAGACTGCTCTTAGAACTGCAGAAAGAAAAGGGCGTAGTCTGGCAGTAGTCCTAAAAATGGTAAAAAATAACTGATCTTGATGTGTTCCAACACGGTTAGTCCTGAATCTGTGATTACACCCACATTCTTGGCAGAGGAGGAAGATGTGGCGTGGTACAGTTAGATAGCCTGAATAACCAAGGTACAGGATAGCATCTGCCCCAGGAGCTGTTAGCAATACAAACTCTGAACAGGCAGGCCTTAGAAATTAATTCAGGCACCAATCTGCAACCCCAAGAACAATCATCATGCCCCTAATATACCTATCTTTTTTTTATTAAACCCAGTCCAATGTTCACTCCTCTTCTCCTGCTGTGCACAGAAGAATTGCCCATCTCCAACCAGTGTTCCCAGAAATAGCCCTTTTCATGGAGAAGCAGTTCAAGAGCTAATTGCTTTGTAGTTCTATAGTTAATTGCTATATTTTACTCATGCTATCTTAGATTTAATTCAATTTCCCACTCATACCTAGAAACTAGGATTTTCCTAAATATATTTATCATCAATACATTAGTTTTGCTCCTCTTTTGCACACACAGGATGGGATAATGCTGAGACTGCTGAATACAAAAATCCCACGGCACGTATTACTCCTTGCACGTGTGCCTGTTTACCCGCTGCTTTTGTTCCTTTACAACTGCTGAAACACTCCAATCTAGCAGCAAGCAAACTTACATCTGAAATCTTCCAAGCCTTGCTCCAGAAATTCCATGGAAAATTTTACCATGGGACAGCAGTAGCCCAAGGTTCAGTGGCATGGAGACCAGAACCACCCCTGAATGTGTTCTCCAAGAGAGGGAGGGTTTCCCAAAGGTGACGGGTTTGTAATCTCTCTGGAATGTCTTTTACGAGAATGATGTGACTTGAGAACTACACTGTGCCATCCAGTTCATCTCGGTGACGTGCCTGGAGATGGGACCCTGCTCACAGAAGAGCTTTTATGCGTAATGGTTCACAGCCAGCAAAAATTAACAAAAGTGTAACTGTGCACAACTCTCCCCATGCCTCCAGCATTCACAAGGAGGGAAAAAAAATCCCGTGAACTTCTGCTAAATGCTAGAAAGTTTCAGCCAGAGGAGCCACCACTCATTCAAAATTCATTATGTCTTGGGGTCTCACTGTTTAAAGCAACTTTTTCTGCTCCTGACCTTCAGATCCCACTCTGACCTCTGCCTTGCCAAAAAATGAGTTAAATATTTGAAGTGAAGCCAAACAAACTGTTTCTTTAAACACGACTTTTCAGAAATTGGAAAATCTTCTTAATGGAGCAAGGATACTGGGGAACCTCAACAGCGGACTAAGTTCTTGATTGTTTTAGGAGGGAAGCCCTGCATTTTGAAGGAAAGGGAGATTTTTTGCAACCACAGACCAAATGTAACAGGGACATGTTAAAGTAGGACCTTGCAGTCTTTCAAGGTTCACAGGAGGATGGCAAGAGCATCCCAAAGCATCAGGGAGTGCATACATATTCTCTTGGCTCATCCATTTGGATTTCTCCTGCATTTTTCAGAGAGGCTAAACAAAACCAGCAATTGCAGCATGTCAGGCTTTTGATTCCCAATTCTGCCTCTGACCTGTTGCGTGGACATGGGTAGAACACTCCCCTTGCACTTGAGTTTGCTCACCTGTTAGAAAGGGAGATCAACTTCCAGTGGGACCTGGCTTCCGACATTATTTAAGGGTTTTAGAAAGTTTGCCCACGGCTTTTTCCTTGCTGTCCTTGGAGTGAAACCGACAACCAGACTCCTATCTGTCACGTGTCAGCTTGCTGTGTCCTTCACGTAGGAGGGGGACAGATAACTAGGGTTTACATGGCCCACGCCTGGAGGACAGCATTTAAGACCAGGTATCGTGGTTCGCAGCACTCTTCTGCAGACCCGATTAAATCGTGGGCAGTTTGCTGGTCTAACTATACCAGTGAGGACTGCAACGAGTCACGATTTGTGATCGACGTGGATGTGCTGGCAAAAGCCCCTCATGCAGACAGCCTAGGAGAGAAGCTAATCGAGTCCTGGGTGAGGCAGGAATAAGCTACAATGGTGCAGAAGTTATTGCTCCACTGGGAGCCCTTTGTTGACAGTTACTCGTAGAGCTCGTTAGCACAGCTCTGCTAGCAAAACCCTGCCTCGGTCACTCTCTCCCCACTAAACCTTGATGTTTGAAGAAACACAAAGGTCATCTGCAGAAATGAAGAGCAACACACGCTGCTTGCACAGAACTGCTCTGTGCAGGTTGCTGAGCACGATCCCGAGTGCCACGGCTCACACACACAACCATGGGAAAGCTGTCCCACTACGTGCCTGGCAAAGTGCTTTCCCATCATAGAAACCTGGAGAAATCCTTCATTGCTAAAGCTGCCGTTTCCTTCAAGAGGCACCTCAGATCTTACACAGACACTTGCCAAGGCATGTGGCATATCCATTTGAGGAGAAGTGGTGTGAACATGTCTCTTGCTTATGCCTCAAAATCTTTCATGCAGACATAAAAGCTGAAAACCATCCTAGCTGGATACAGAGAAAACCTTCCTGTAACGTGCCCATGATCAATACAGCAACAGCTATACAGGTTTGCAGAGCTCCTGAGAAAGTGCCATTAGCCATCGTTTCCAGAGATCAGAACTGCAACGTTTTTAGTCCTTTCCCTTGGAGTCACTTTCACAATAATGAGAAAAAGAAACATCAAGCTTTGTTATAGCTCTCTGCCTTCATAGTCACAGAGAGTGGAGCACAGGTATAGCCTGAATCTGTCTCAGTAGGTCCCTGACACTGAGCGATAGGCTGTAAAATTAATTCCATGCTCCTAAAATGGGGATTGGCTTTTAAAAAGATCAGAAAATTGCCATTTTCAAGACAACTGCCACTATCCACTTAGCTCCCCTACCCTGGGTTGCACTCAAATGCCAAGACATGTCCTGAACACCACCTCTTTCATGCTTTTACAAAGACTGACATTCATTAGTGCAAACCAGGTGGCATGGCTTACATGGAAAAGCAACATCCAGACTGTACGGGCAAGTCTAGCGACACTTATCTGCTGGAAACGAGGCAGAACAGAGGGATCAGCCAGCTTCTCTTACAAACTGTCGCTGACCACAGTCTCACCCTCAAACCAAAAGCTATTCAGAGCTTTTGTTTTACCCTGACCAACACAGGGGGGTGAAAGGGAAATAAAACAGAGACAATACAGAATTCAAAGGAGTGGAAATACTGTGCTACATCAGCAACAGAGCCACTTTATGGACTTCACAGCTACAGAAGGTCATGAGTCAAACACTGCGACTAGATTTTCAAATGAGCCAAGTAACTGTATAAGCATTAATAACGTAGAAATTACGCAAGCGACAACAAGGGCAATTATGTCTCATGCTTTAGGCCATAAACTGTGTTGGTGACAAGAAGAAATCTGTCCTTTCCCTTGGCATCTGGCAGTGCAAAGTTGCATGCAACATTCACCTCCCCTCAGGAGCTCCAGTCTTGGGCTGGAGCCTCATGGGACACCTCATGGGTTACCCATGGGCTGGGCGGGTGCAGCTGCTTTGTTTGAGGTTCAGGTTAGGCAGAGGTAGAACATATTGCCCTGCAGTGTTGCACATTTATTTTTAAGTGGCTCACGCACAACAAAAGCAAAAGATGCAAGAATTCCCCTAAGCCTGTCTTAGTTTCTGGCAGCTCCTCTTCCTCGCAATGAAATCCTTAAACCCCAAAGAGCTACAAGAAAAAAATCCTAGAAGAAACACGTTGCAAAGTCAAAACAACTCATGCACAGAGCAAGTTCTGTCTCCAGTGCTTCAGGCCAGACATTTACAGAGTGACCCTTTTGCCCCCTCCCAAAATTAGCACAAGCCTCTTTGCAGAGGTCTGAGCCAAGTCAGGCTCAGCTGTGCTGAGCACTTCCTAACTGGGAACTCTTTCCTGGGCTGATTCTCAGCACCTCTGGCAGGAACTGAACTCAGAAATCCTCTGTTGCGTATTGTCTTTCAGGGGATCATCTTAAATATAGGATGGAGCATGCTACAGCTAGGGAACAACACACTTTTTTCTTCAGAAAATACTCAATTTTTGGTAGGTAGTGCAACTCTGATGTAGAGCTGAAGCGTGGTCATTGACACAGCAGGTGGGGATGCAGCTGGGGTCTCCAGACATGGAGTCTCGTCTGCACACCACAGGATTGCAAGAAGTAACACCAAACACCCCTCGTGAGTAATGAGCTGGGGGAAGAAAAACCACCTTCAGCCTTAATAGGGACTTGCTAAGAACTGCAAACTCCAGGCAATCTGCTGATGTGGTTGCTGCTCAGGTATTTGTAAACAGAAGAAATCAAGGCTGTAGAACCAGTTGTGCTGATGTTTCGCTAAAGAACGTACCTGATGTGGAACAGATTGTCCTGCCTAAAACACATGAGCCTGGTACTATCTACTGCCTCATGCTTACTGCTCAAATCAGCATCCAAGTCTGTTAACACCCACGCCCAGAGCTCATGGGGTCCTGCAGACCTTTTGGGTTTTACTACTGCAGAAAGGAGGTGCGTTTATCTTGACTGGTTACTGTGAGATCTCACAGGACTGCAACAAGTGTCCTCGGGGAACGTGCAGCCTTCTAGCTCTTAGCCTCTTGGTTGTTCTTTAAAGACATTACATGGGGTTGAGTTTTAGCCAAGTATGTGTGAGGAAATCTCCCTCTGCTGCCAGGCCAGGATGCTGCCTGGATCACGGATCCAAATATTCCCTCCTTCCAGCCTCAGACACTTGTATCTTTTGATTCCCAATCCACATCAGTTCAGTGCTCAGGAAATGGGCTCCATGACCGTACCTTGTGGGACAGCACCTTGCTACCATGAAAATGGTGCCAACAGTCAACTGTATCCAGGTCGGGCATGTAGCCCAGCTTTGTTGAGACTACTTCTGCAGCTAAGCTAATACAGAAAGCTTTTCTCACAGCTAGTTGCAGCACTCAGCACCAGATGTTTCCTCAGCATAGCACTCAATGTTCACAGATCTGCATCAGAAATTAATGTAGGGAGGAAAAAATTCAGGAATTTGCAATGAATCTTTGTAGAACAGCTCAGATGTTTTGCTCTAGATCCTGAAAAGGAGTCAGAGAGCAGGTCTCAGTCTGTGGAACACAAAAGCTCATGCTTGTGTGTCAAGTCCTTGGTCCTAGACCGTGTTCCCACTAGTGAAGGCAAAGCGATAGCTAAGGACCTCAAAGGAAGCAATTTGGGAAGCTAGAGAGAGAAGGACAGAACAAAAAGCAGCCAAAGCTGATAGCACTGGGTTTGCAAGAAGGAACAAGTGGAACACTTTGGAAACAAAGTGAGACAGACAGAGATCGTTCTTCTGACAGCGATTTGGAAACGTCCATCCCCAGACTTTGCTGATGCCAAACCTTAGCTCAGGGAGGCTGCAAATCACCAGTGTGGTGTCCTGAAAACATTTAATAGGGAATGAGAGAAAGGAGAAACGCCAGACCTCAACAGTGGGGATTGAAGTAGTCATTACTCAGCCATAGGAATATACAACAGCCCTTGGAACAGTAGGACAGGCAGAAGCACGTACAAATGGAGAGAAATTTTTAAAACACTTACTCTGGAACCTCTCTTGCCAGGTGGTCCTGGTAAGCCTGGCAGACCTGGTGGACCCTAGAAAAATGAAGATAGAAGTATTAATAATGGTTCTAAAACAGGACGGTGGCTCCTGACAGTGTTTCAGGGAGATCCATAATGCAACCATTTGGAGAAGACCTGGGGAGAAGGACCAGTTATAACACAACAGCCAGCATTTCCCTTCAACTTATGCTTTTACCGCAAAGGGATAAAAGCCATGCGCAATAACATCTGCAGAAGCGTATATTTGCATCGAGTAGAGTCAGAGCATTCACATCTTTCTGCTGTGGGCCACATTGCTGTGACCACAGCTGTGTTTCACGCTTCCAGTTTCCTGGACCTGTGCTGTAACACAGGGGTAACACAACTGTCTCAGCTTCGGAGTTTCCTGTTACGTGCTAGTGCACAACACAAGTAACGTGTTAGCGCCTTGGTGGGGGAGGAACATGGTGTGTTGTAATACACACCAGCTGAGGACGTATATAGCTCTTGGTATTGCAGGTTCCTATACAAGTTACAACGTAATCACATCCCAGCACTTCATATTTTAAAGCAGCACGTTACAAAATGTAATAAAATTGGTGTCGGTGTTGGAAATTCTTAAATACGGCTCTGTAATATAGGTGAGGTCAACTCATACATCTCAGAGTAGCAGGGGTTCTTGGAAGAGGGTGAGAACAAAGTTGAGATATCAGGCGCCCAGCTGTGCACTGATCTGAAACAGGTTAGGAAAAAATACTTAACCAATGAGGTTTGAACTCCTTTGAATTTATTCTTTTTTTTTTTTTTTTTTTTTTTCAATGGACTACAGAATTCAGATTTCTGGAGAGCCATTTGCAACTCCTAATAACTCCTCAAAACTTCTTTTTCTTCGAGCCAAACATGTCTAACAAGAACAACTGTTAATTAAAGTGTCTCCCAGAGGATTTATATTCTAGTAGCTTGTTACAAAAGACAACTTTTCATTGCATTCAGGGGGGAGAGAGAGATCCAGAGCAGAGACTGAAGGATGTTTGGAAGGGAGCCTGAGCTCTCCAACTGCGTGGCGGACAGGAGAGCAGGTCCCAGGAGTGATGCTCCGTGGGGAAAATGAGGGCATGGCATGGAGCAGGTGCAGCACGAGCCCCATGGCCACACTCTGGCCCCAGCACGGCCTCGCTCAGTCCCCCTGGCCATCTCTGTAGGGCCACGATGGCCCTGAGCGGAGCCTGTTGCGAGGCTGACCCTGCTGCTGAAGGACAGCCAGGCACGACTGCTCCGGCTCCGCAGCGTGTTACCGGCCCTGAGGAAGAGTGAAAAGTTCATGGTCTCTGATAACAGTTTTCACGAGTCATCCAGCGCGTGATTTAGTAACAAAAATAAACCCTGGAGATCCCAACCTTAAATTTCATGCCCACGATAAGATTTTGAATAGGGAAAGCTTGTGAAACATATGGGTAACTGATGAATAAATACTCCCCTAATATTACCAACCCTCCTATACATAGGCAGCAAATTAATTTGAATAAAACAGTCTTTTTTTTTTAAAAAAAAAAAAGACGACATCCAGCCAAACTTGGTACTTTAGAGGAAAAAAAAAAAAAACAGAGGAGGAGTAAGAAAAGCCCAGGGTGGGTCTTTGAGCAACTAATTTATCAGGACATGAAATGAATCATAATTTTTTTTTTTTTCCTGTAGTTAGTTCTATCTGTAGTAAAGATGACAAGAAAAGGATTGGTTTAAAAGTGTAAAAGCCTACATAGCATAAAGTAACTAATGCCCCACACTAAGACTCACAGAGAAGGACTTTGACCACTGTATCACCCACTGCTGCTACCCAACAGTGCTGCCTGTCCTGGACATTTCCAATCTCTATAGCCCGGGATGCTTCATCTGACCCCTTTGCAAGTTGCTTACTGCTGGCTAACACAGTATTACTGGTCCTTGTATTAACAACCCTCATTGATACAGCTGACCCTCATTTTAGCAATACACACAGCGTTTTAACCTGCCATTGTGCCAGCTCAGGGCCCCGTGCATAATGCAATTATACAGCTGTGCAAATAGACACATGATTGTAGGGTTTTTTAAGCCTCGTGTATAATTGTGCTCCAGAATTCAAGCTTTTATTAAAAAAATCCCCTTGCCCTTTTAGTTAGGAAGATAACTATCAAATCACGAATCCAATGCAACTGATGCAGTGACAGTTAATAGAATTTACCAAAGATTAATTCAAGTCCTTAACCTCTTCTCCATCAAAATCCATCTCCATTTACCCCTAGAAGAAGTAAAAGAGAAGATGCAACTGAGAACCGCGTTCCGTGCGTACCGGAATTGAGGTGACCTTTTCCACCTTCCTGCTAATGGCAGCTGCAATTGTACTTGGCCACTTGAGTAAAAGCCTTCTCCAAAAATATGGGCTGTTCAGTATAAACTGAAGCTAACATAAAAATAAGGAGAGAGTTAATACCTGCACTGGAGTGGAAATACGGAGTTAAAGGAAAGGCGTTTAGCTGGAACAGCACAGAAAGAGCAGTACATAATTCAGAAGTCCCTATCACTTTGCTTTGGCTTAATTTGCCTTTCCTCCAGCCTTTTTTTCTCCTCTCCTGAAGAGTAAGAGGAATAAGCTGACTATGGGATGAGTGGCTAAAAGCTGCCAACCACTATGGGAACTGCACAAGGCAAGAGCGTCACCACGTATCAATTAGAAGCAAGTCAAGGTGGAAAAAGACTGGGGTAGCTGGATGAACACAGGTTGCTGTGAAACATGATGTGCTGCAAGACCACCTTCTAGATTCTCACACAGTTCCTCGGGAGATGGATTGGATGGGACACGTACTGTGCCAGCCTGGCAACTCATTTCTGCTCTGCCCTGCACGTAGCTTTGAGCTGCCTGATCTAGTGGAAGGTGTCCCTGCCCATGGCAGGGGGGGTGGAACTAGATGATGTTTTAGGGTCCCTTCCAACCCAAACCATTCTGTGATTCTATGATATACCTCTGTATCATCCAGCTCAAGTTCTCGAACAAGAGGCCCATGTCAGATGACTGCCTTTGCCAGGGAAGAGCAATACTGAAATACACGTGAAGAAAAATGCACATCCGCAGAGGCAGCCAGAGAAGAATGAGCCTGGATCGGGGCCCAGTTACTCACAGATGATGGATGCAGTCCCACTTAGAACGTAAGGCTCCGAGACATGGAGGGTTAGAGATGTCTATCAGTGAGCCACCATGCAGCGAGCTGCGGGAGTCCACCTGGACGTAAGGCTGCACAGTCCCCACACTCACCAGAGACATCTCCACCCTCACCCCTAATGCAGGGAAGAGTTAAACTCATCAGGTGTAGACCTTTCCGTTGTACCCTTTCGAACATCCTTGGGGAATTCCACGGGGAGCAGTGGGAAGTGCTCCGAGAGGCTGCCAGGTTTCCTTTTCCTGGCAGCGGAAGGAAGATATCGCTTCTCTGCCCCTGTCCTCCCACTGCACGGACACCCCACGAGGCCGGAGAAGCTGACAGCCTCCTGCGGCGAGCTCCCGTCCCGAGCACTCTGCTTCGTGTCTCTCTGGCTTCTTGCCTGCTTCTTTCTGCAAGGTGGTGGTGGAGCACACACACCCTGTTATCACACAAAGCGAAAACCAGAGATCAAGGAGAAACGCGGCAGAAGCAGATACTCTCTCTCTTCTCAAGCCAAACAGCTGAGCTGTTAGCCAGCCCGAACCATCCTGCGAAGCAGCTAACGGCAGCCACGGAAAAGTTTAACCCTTCTCGGTTTCCCACAGTAGCATTAGCAATGATGACTGATTCCACCGAACAATTATCGGATTTGTTCTAAGCTGCAGCCGGGAAACCTTCTGGTGCAAAGGGGACTTTTTTTTTTTTCCCCTTCACTTTTTGAGCTTCAAATTGCAACTGGAAAATTAAGCCGTCTGAAAGGGAAATACATCGGACCCTGAGGACAAGAGAAATCTCACTGTTTCCTCTTGCAGCCGAGATCAGCCGGTTTCTACCTCCGCCTCTCCCACATCACGACCCTCCTCCTCGCCCTGCTTCCCCTGCCCGCGGTCGTGCCGCGGGGAGCTCGGGGCCTTCAGATCTCAAAGCCTGAGCAAGGCTGAGCCTGTTGGGAGCTACAGGAGTTGGCGCTGATGTGGGAGACGACTCGCTTCCTTTTCAAAGACTGCTGAATCACGGCGCTCAGAGAGCGAAGCATTGCTGTCCTCCTTCCCCAGGGGCCAGTGCTCAGTGTAGCAGCAGACAGTTGATTACACAGGACACACTTTAGCTCATATTCCAGTGCACGCTGATGGACTAACACTTCTATATTTTAGGGTTTCTCCAGCGTATTTCTGCCACCCCCGTTCCGTACCCCTGCCCAGCATTAGTGGCACAGTTCTCCTTTATCCCGGAAAAGGCTGCGTTTCCAAGGTTGGGCATCCTGCACCATGCAAAACACTGCAAGGACCAAAGAGAGAATGTTGTTCTTTCTCAGATGCTAATGCGTGTGGTAAAAGCCAATTTAAAGGGAGTTCAGAAAATGCATCAAAAGGTTCTCCCTATGTTGGCATCAAATTCTGAGCAGTGACCTTACCCCTGCAGATAGAGAACCTGACTTGTTTTCTCCCTGGAGGAAGACAAAGCATGTTTCATATGCAAGGCCACTGCCACAAATCCGCCCTTTAGCCTTGAACATCTGAAAGCACAGGCACAAAGGGACCGAGCAGCTACAGGGGCAGCATTAGAATTAAAAATTCCGTGCTCAGGAGAGAAGAGCAGAAGACCTCCTCTTTGAAAGTCATGCCAACCCCACCGCACCTCACCGTCCTTGCCAAGCGCTGCACAGAGAGCGAGAGAGGACCTAAACTAAAACCCAGCTTGACATGCTGCCTAAAACAAATCTGGAATTCTGGGGGGAAAAAAAAAATCCAGCACTTTGGTTACTTTCTTTTCCAAGGCAGGTTTATCATCTTAAATTTGGACACGTCTGGGTTTCAAGCAGTCTAAAGAGAAAAAGCCCTCATAATTCTGGCAGGAACCGAGATGTTGGTGCAAAGCCAGTCTTGTAATATCATTTCTACAATAGACACAGATGTTTATTCTGGGTCTGTACAACACCTATCACAGAAAAGTTCTTGTCCACAATTGGATTCCTAACAGAGTGGCAGCACAATACATAGCAAAACATTAGTATTCCAGCTTGATGAAAACAGCTTTTCTACAGAGACATTTCAGGAACGGTCTTTGCATGAGACACTTCAGACTCTTGAGCAATCTCAGACCTTGGAAAGAAGTCTGAAAGGGTGTGAAGAAGTAGAGGGATCCCATATTCTATCACTCACTTGCTGTTTTTAAAGATTTATAAAAATACCTGTATATATTTATACAATACATCCTTTGCAGCACGTTTATCTCAATCACACTTTCAACTACTGCTCTTCAAAATGGACTTTATTTTAGGCAAATAAAGCGCTCCGATGCTTAGTCATTTGCCTGCAAGAAGATTTCCCTTTGGGGATAGTTCTGGTTAAATTAGCAAAAAAATTACGATCCAACTGTGTGAGTGAGGCTAAAACTTTTCCCATGTATTCCACAAAGCGTGTGATCCCTTTTTTTTATTAATATGACTCATTCGTTACGAGACATTCAGACACATTGTGTGTTCCTTAATTTATCATCGACTGTCAGCTCGAGTAGCCTTTTCTGGTACAAGGAGGACTGGAAATAGGCACTTCATATTTTATCAGCGTTCCCAATCACCTCTCTTTCCCCAACCCGCTGATTGAATTGGCCAAGGATCGCTCCTTTCTGAAAGGAGCTGGGCTCCAAGACAAACCGCTCGCACAGAAGATGGCAGCTGGAGCAGTCTAGAGCGGGGACGCGCGCAGAGACACATCTGGACAGGCCAGGACGCCGCTGCCAGAGGGGTTGGAACCCAGGGGCTCCTGCTCACGCACCGCGCTGACGGAAACTGGAGGCTGCTGGCGCACCCGCCCGCAGACTCTTCCGACTGGGATGCTCGGGGAGTCGTTTGAAACACGCTCCCTCCCCGCTCCTCTTGGGTTACTCAGTGCTTCCGCAGCCTCTTAGTGAACTTGGCCCATTCCTCTGCATGTCCACCAACAGGTATGGTTTCCTTGCTCTAAAAATAACCCTCAGGCACTCATCAAGAGAGTCAACGCTGGGCTTTTTGTTTGTAGGGGTCAAAAAGCTACAGAATTACAGCCCTATACAGAAAGAGAAAGGTCTACTTGGGGTACCCTGCGTACAACCCAGCCAGAGCCCAGGGCTGTGCCAGGACAAGGGGTTTGCTGCAGCTTTAACACGCACAGCCCAGTGGGCAGGGGAGAGGGCTACAGCCCCCCGAAGCTGCCCATCAGACCTGCTGCTGGTGTACACAAGCAAAGAACACCCCATCCATGGAAGGATTCAGAACACCTATTGCATCACAGCCTCGCGACGGCTTGACACGCTGGCAACAAAACACTATTTTTCAAATATTATTTTTCTTTCGTGGTGTCCAAGCTACTCACAGCCACGTGCTGGGGGCACGGCGAGCTGAGCTGAGCAAAGGCCCCACGCAGGGACAGGGGATCTCGGCTGGGGCTCGGCAGCGGGCAGCCGTGGGGGTGATTCAGAGGGACCTTTGCCAGCTGCTGACTCAGTGCTGTGCTGCTGACTTAGCATGATGTTTGGGTGTTCTCTTTGCTATTTCTTCCCCCCTCCAAAAGAAATTTAGAGCAGAGATCCCAAATGCTTGCGGTTATTAATGGTTCCCAAGAAATTTTTCTTTTTTTTAAGAGCATATTATCCTCCTTCCTCTAGCCGCCCAGCAAACCCAACATTCCTGAAGAATTAATGCTCTGCCATTAGTTGCATGTGGGACGCAGCGTCTCCGTTTCCTGCTGCGCAGCACTGTGATGGTCTTTCAGGACAGATTAATCCATGGAGGGTGCTGCCTTTTCTTGCTAGCGGGAACAGATCCTTTTAGCCCCTTGCTTGCACACCCCTCTAACCATGCAGACACCTCCTTCAGTTGTGGGGAAGGGGCCCTTCTGCACAGCAAAGAGGATACACCACAGTTATTTTGGTAGCATTCACAAACCCAGAATTGCAGAGAGACCACAGTGCCTGAGTCATCGCATTGCTGCCTCGTGCCCCGGCTGTCAATCGCATCCTGATTTTGATCAGGATGTCATCTCATCCTGAGGAGGAGAGATTGTCCTTTCTCTCTAATCGGAGAGCTGGACACGCAGGGGCTAGCCTGCCTCTGCCCATAAATCGTCACCAAGGTGGCCCCAATCCTTGCTGAAAAGGCAGAAGTTTCCCCATACACACTTCTCTACCCAGCGCGACAGCCTTCTTGGAGAGACCTTGTATCAGGCAACGCAACTGGGAAAACTAATTAGTCATCTTATCCTTCCACCCATGTGCCAGACTCCATGTATGACGTTCCCAGCCCACAAGCTGCCCCGTCCGGGGAAAGCGCCGGGCTGTGATATCATGCCGCAGAGCAGGAAGGGCTGTACTGACCTCATCAGAAACGTCTGCCCAACACCGTGAGCCCGCCAGGTAATTACTCAAGCACGGAGCACTTATCAGCACTTGTTCCGAAACACGCTCGTCTGGCCATCGTAGCACTACATTAATTTCTCAACATGTCATCCCCATTCTGCTTCTTTTCTCCTCTTTCTCTTCCCACGCCAGAGACATCCAACGAAGTATGGTACAGAGATCTCCGAGTGAGTCACAGGAGCCATCAAGCATCGCACAGCAGCCAGCTCCAGCCCAGCCATAACCTTTCCCTCCCCTAAGTGCCGACTTTGTTTCCAGCAGTCAAAGAGTATAAGGCCAGACAGAGCCCCAAAACATTCTCCTTTCCCTCAGTTCAGGACTCCAGTTGTTCTCGCACAGCATGGAAAAATCCTGCCATCTCTTCCCTCAGCCTGAATCTTTCTTTGCTATGATTCACAAGCTGAGAGGGATTTTCCACTCCAGTTCAATCATAAGCTCTTAACGTTGCAGGGGGAAGCAGGGGCTTGGAGCTTGGTCACTCTCATGACACTTGTAGGGCAAGAAGATGGAAAAGGCCAGGATCTCACCGGGCTCAGAACAGGCCACCCAGATTTACCCCTGACAGGTAAGCAGTGTTTTAACAGTTCAGGATCATTGAATTTCTCCTCTTGGAAACATGCCTGAAACGGCTCTCCACAAAACACAGAAGATTGCCCAAAGATAAAATCACCAAAACTCATTCTGTCTACTCGGGGATTTAGCAAAACTTCTCCGAGCTCAAAGGCTACATCAGGAGCTGGGAACCTCCAAACAGAACACAGCCCTCAGTGATTCCCCACCCGAATTCCAAGAAGAGAAATCACCACGCTGCTTTGAAACAGGACAGGATGGGAAGGAAAGGCAAACCTTGAAGGTAAGCACCCATTGAGGGCTTCCCCAAACACAACCATTTCACTTTAGGTTCCTTGCAACAACAACCAGCACATGTGCAGACACAAGTGCTGTTGATTGTGTTCCTTAAGCCAGTCTCAATATTTCCATTGTAAACCCTTCTTTCACTATTTTAGGAAGTCAGCTGTAAAAATTTGCTCTAGCCTGGAATTTGGCAACCAAAGATTCCGTCTGGGAGAAACTTATTTTACGTGTACAACCTCTCTCTCATATACACAATATAGCAAAAGGCTTGGGTTGGAACAGCAAATCCTGGGAACGCTTGGCCACTTTAAAGATCCTGTTTGCATTCTTGCATTTGAAAAGAAAAAGCGTTAGCAGATAATTAGCATGGCCTGACTGCTTTTAGCATTACAAAATGTGTGTATACTTTTATGATAGCCAAGATATACACCCTGAGAGTGGTTATTGTGTGTGGAATGCAGTAGTTAAATTTATAAAGGAAACTCTTTGCACGTTTTTAAGTGTGGGCTATGAGAAATGAAAATAAACAAACTCATACCATAAAAATAGAGGAGTTTGTTTAAAAAAAAGCAATACTGAAACAATCTCTGTACTTGCATCTGCTGAAACGGGGCATTTTCCTGGAAATGTGAATTTCAGGTACAAAACACATTAATAACCAGGGTTAAGAAACAGTTAATTTGTGGCATGTTTTTGAGGCACCTGAGTTTCCTTTGGAAGGTGACAATAGTTCTGCACTCTTGGCCCTGAGTACAACCAGGGGTGTGGAACAGAGCCCCAGCCTGGCCATCAACATTTTAAGGAGCAACTTGTAGAAAAGAAGGTGGGATTTTTCTCCTCTTAAATCTACCATTAAGCAGCAACTTTAATCACAGACTTTTAAGAGGCATCCACCGTCACGGAGCACTCAAGTTTACGCTGAGATATATGCTAAAATTTTGATCATCAGAAATCTAACAGTGCTTGGCTGCTATTTTGAGTTGTCACATTCCACTAGATTTTACAGAAACCCTTGTAGGTTATGGTCTGCCAACCATTCAGCTGATCTGTAACTGGGAATAGTCATCATTAAGAGCTTGAACTTACCTGAGGTCCTCTCTCTCCTTTCACACCTGGATATCCCAGTAAAAATGGAAACAGAGTGGGTCCGAGGGGGTCAAAGATTTGATAGCCATCAGTCGCAGCTGGGGTTGTGAGATTGAAGGCGTGTGCCCTGGCTCTGGAGACGGGACGGGCAGACCCCAGGGGTGGTTTGGTGTACACCAGAGGGACATTACTAGGATCCACTTTCCTGGTAGGGGACGGCATGTGCTTCTTTGGAATGGGTCCATTGCTTGGGTTCTGAGGGGTTTGCTTTAGGGTGACAAAGTGGACATTGCTGGTTGTGTTATCAGTCATCCTCCTCGTTGGCTTTACAGTCCTGGGTGCTTCAGAGGGCTCAATTGTCGGTTTTTGGTCGATGATCTTTTTGGTCTCTTGCTTGGACTCCTTCCTACTGGCTGTAGCAGGGCTCTGGCTTGTTGGCGGGGCCTTTTTGGCAGTAGGAAGGGGAGTTTTCTCCACCCGTGTGCTGGGAGTGGGCCGAGACACCCTGAGGGTCATCACCGTCCCCCGAGGGAGCGAACGAGTGGGTGGCTGTGTTTCAGTACTCGACGGAAGAGGAGATGGGGCCACTGTGACCTTTGTGGCTTTGGTTGTCAGTCTTGGCAGTGATGACGCCAATGCGACAGTTGTTGCACCCAAACCCCGAGTCTTAAGGGGTGCAGTGACCCTGCCAAACTCCAAGGATGGGGCAGCAGTGGTCAAGTTTTTCAGACCCTGCAGCGAGGGCTCCATATGCTGTGGGGTACTCGAGGAGGCACCAGGATCCCTGGGCAGGAGGGGGATGAGGGGGGGCAGGTTCGGCCGGTAGGTATCTGCTTGCCTGCACTGTTTTTTCAGGTATTTACAGTAATGATGAGCTGCCTTGGCGGAAGGATAAATATCAAACTGGCAGATGGCTCCTTCAAACTGCACGGAGTGCTGATTCATCTTCCCAAAGAGGAAAGATCCATGTGGATCCAATGCCTCGTCCTTTTTAAAATGCAAATCCGCATGTACTCTGCGCTTCCCACAAGAAGTAAATAAAGTGACTGTCTGGCCACGGATATCGATGGCCATATTGTGCCACTGGCCATCATGGACATTGTAATCAAAATATACAGAGCGCTTGTGGCCCACATACACTATGATCTTCCCAGGCACAAACTGGACCCCCAGCTGCAGTTTTTTCTTTTTGCTCTTGACAGCAAAGAGAAAAGCATTGTTGATGCGGTGGGAGCAGAGGCTCAGCACTAGGAGCAGGTCAGTGCTGGAGCCTGCGGGAAGGATGGTGCTGACCGGTGCTTCAACACGTGCTCGCTGAGTGAAGATGACCCCTGATTTGAAAGGGATGACCCCTTGAGGAACCGTACGTGATGAGGACCATCCGTTCGATGGCCTTTTCCCTGACAGGCCCAGTCTTTGAAGAACATCCACATCTGAAAGGGAAACACAAAGAAAATGTGAGTTGTTGGGCTGGATGGGTATGGGGGGCTCAAACCAGTCAATGCAAAAAGGCAACAGGATGTAGGAAATCCCAACCATCCTCTCACATACATAGATTCAGATAATCAGAACGGAGAGCACACAGCTCTTCTGCATGTTGTGTGAGGAGCAAGTGCGTGCTCAACTGGGTCACCAGTAGTTACCAAAATGCATCAGCTTCATGGTGCATCTGGCTAGCTACCCTGTCCTACCAGGGACCAGCTCCAGATGTTCTGAAGGGAGCTGACCTCACTAGAAGGAAATCTCCCACTGAGCACCGATAGTCCACTTCTCTGGGATTTAATTCTGAGTACTGACCACACAGCTGGAAAGGAATTTGAACAACAGACTGAGCTGGGGTTGCAAAATTTTATATCCCCAGAAGGCAACTAACAGAACTTTCAAAGGGAGCAAGCGCCTTGTATCTGTCTCTCTCCAAATTAGTAAGAAGCAGCTTTTGATCTTTGAGACTCTGGAGAGTTTAGGGAAGCAAAGGTGCCTCCCAGCATGAAAAAACTGCACCTAGATCTCACTGAATCGCTTGAGGTTCTCAACAGCAGTACTTTTTTTCCCAGAAGATCATCTTACAGCCTTAAATTGTTTTAATAAGTTGGAAGAAGCAGACTTGGTTTGTGAAGAGCTGAGAAATTAGTTATGGCTGCCTCTGAGCAGTGGAGGTAGAACTTGCTTCCAGCATTTGTCACCCAGGAGCTGGGTGCCTTCTTCAAGAGAGGACGAGCAGGATTGCTGTCCAGAGGCACCTATCTTCCTCCACCGACTCCGGGAGAAGTCTGCAATGGACAGACAAGCAGAATCCTCTGGTTTCTGGCCCCAAGGTCTAAGAGGAGTCACGCACAGCGCTGAGTCCAAGGCAGATGAGCAGGCAACAGCAACACGAACTGGAGCCAGCTGGCAGCAGTCTCAGCTGAACTACGTAACTGGGGAAGATGCTGAAGTCTACGTGAGAAAAGCTGCAAAGGTGAATATGCCCAGACCTGGAAAAGGTGCTCATGCGCCCAAAAGCTCGTTCTCTTACTCCAGCTCAAACATTTGCTCTAATAAAAGACGTTACTTACATGGCATAGACAGATAAAGGTAAAGCTACAATGATTACCATGACCTACCACCGTTGAAAACAAGCTAAGAAAACTGTATTTCCTTCCCTCTTCCCTGCTGCCCAAACGCAATCCCCACTACTCGAGGACCAGCTAACTCTCGTGTATTTAAGAGCTCTCGGGGGAAGCTCGCCAGGGCTGCGTAATCCAAAGGCTGATCTCGCCAGGTAAGAATTTAACAATCAGAAAGGCGGCAGTGCCAAGCTTGGCTGCAGGTCAGCTAACATCATGGGATTGCAGCTCTCCTAGACTAAAAGGAAAAGTAAATCAAAGGTTGTCCAAAGAAAAAACATGCACCTTTTCTAAAGGGGCCTTGGAATTTGGGCTCTTTCACCCTTAACTATTAAATATTCAGCACAATACCAAATATTAGGAGAACTGGCACTTAAAAGATATCCTCAGTTTTGGCCGGGAGGGCTGTAGACTGTTGCTGCAGAGGCCTGTAATGTTGCTGGCCAGGAAGGGATGAGGATAACGAGAAAACCTCTGTTCCTTGACTTTGGCAAAAACCTTGGCCGTTTTTGTACGTAAGAACAAGTCAATCAATATTTACTTTGTCTGAGCTCAGCTTTATTCCCACCTCCCTTTTTTAAGGCAGCTTGGCTCACTTTCTAGCAAAGACTACTCTGGAGAAGAAGTGTCAGATGTGACAGGGGATGGAAATTTTCCCCCTCCATGCAGAGGTGATAACTTACTGCACAGCGTGCGCAAGTGTTAATAACGGTACTTCTCCCATACTAAGAAATCCTTGGTCCCCACTGTTTTTTCTGCCTTACTGCCCAAAGAGGCTGTCCCTCAGCAGAGCAAAGTTAGAGCCTTCCCCTCTCTGCACTGAATGGAGGGATCACAGCAGCATCTTCATACTGGATAATCTCCAGAGCCCATGAAATAGTAAAGGCCAAAGCCCGGCTCTAGCGAAGTCAAGTGGGACCCTTGCCACAGACTTCAAAGGCATCAGGATTTAGCCCTAAGGAAATACATTTACCACTTAAACTAAGAGCTAGACTCCAGCTTCCAATTTCTAGATGTATTTTTAGGTTCTCTCCCAGAGACAGACAGTGGTGTGTCTCTACTAGGCAGTGGTGCCTTACACTCCAGGAGTTATTCATTTGGTAGCTGCTCTGCAAAGACGAAAGGATGTTTCCCTGCTCAGAGAATGCCGCTGCTGTTTGCAATACCAACCCAACTGCCTCCTTAGCAACTGCATCCAACAGTGCTTGAGAAAAAGGAAAAAAAGCACAACCCAACCACTCCTTTCCCTCAAAACCCACAAAGGTAGAGCCAAATTCGAGATGCCTACGCAAAACCTGATTAAAACAGACCTCATGCAGGACACATGCGGATTTTCCAGCACCAGGTCCAGACACACAGCTCAGGACTCCTGTGCACCCAGTCTGTCTGTCTCTCCATCCCACGCCAACTGCCCCGGGTTGGTGGGGCATGTCCCCCGGGATGATGGGATGTCATCAACTAACATAAAATGCAAGGTAGTTTTGGCTTCCTTAAGCAGCTCCAAGTTTAGCAAAGCACTTTTTTTCCCCTTCAAATTTTTTCCTCTGTAGACTTTTTCCATCAAAACACATTATTTAAAAAACCATTCACTTAGATCTGCCTGGTCCCAGGTGCCTTGAAGCTAGTTGCAACATTCCTGTAACAACATTTGGGCAACCAGGAAACCGTGCACGAAGTGAGATGCGCAGAGATTCCCGAACAACCATATGATTATCTCTGAAAGAGGGGATAAAATGTTTTATTGCTCTCCTTCCCGTCTCTTTCTGTCCTTCCTGCTTTCCTCATGCAAAATGCTTCATAAGAAAAAGAAGCCAGAAGGCAGGAGAGAAATAACTTGCAGTTTCCTAGAGTCCAGCAGCTGAGATGTGATGCCCACAGATAAAATTAGGTTGAATAAACACTATGATTCCAAAAGTTACTGCCCAGACCCTTAGTCAGTGCACATCAGATGAACTCACTAACCTCATGATCTTTTGGATTCGTAACACTTACGGAAAAATCATCATCTGTGTTCTCTGATTTTCCAGTGTTCAGGAAGACCCCTAAGCTTTACAGTAATAACTGGAGTGTTTTCAAAAGCCCATGGCATTGGCTTAATTTCATCCTCACACAGATCCATGAACAAGATCTTATTTGCTTTTATAAATGTCATGTTTGAAAATCCTGAGTGATAATACAGTCTCAGGTCACCAATGTTTCCTCACAGTCTTTGCTTCTTTGGAAGTTTCTACTTTCTAGTACCCAGAAGAGCAGCCTGTGTCTGACTATGGGGAAACCAAGGATGATTTTTAAAATTCCGTAATCACAGAGAAAGTATCTCAGAGGGAAATTATCTACCACACTAAGGCAATGCAGTAAGAGCAAAGTGAAAGAGTTTCCTTTAGATTGATGGTAACAATCCAAAGACATGGCACCGACCCATAATTATCATGGGAGTAAAATGATGGATAGAGATGAATCTAAACAGCGTATTAAAATCTACTTGAAAAGAGATGCCAAGACACAGTATTTGTTCTGCCTCTTTACGAGCTGACATAAAACTTGCTCTGAAAACTGCTTGACTAAGTAATTCAGCCAGATGTTCACCTCTTTTGCATTGAAGCAGAATTTGGAAAATATTACATTTTTCAAAATTGCTGATGGCAGGGATGTACTTCTTTTTCTCCCCTCCTGTAAAAACTGCTCCAAGGGCTGGCTTACAGCTGAGCACTGACCAACTTTCTATTTTTCCTTCATGTTTTGGAGGCCAAGAGGAGAGTCCTGGAGCCTGCTAGTCCACTTATTGTTGTCTACTGATTGCAGAGGAAGCTGTTCAGTTCCAGCAAATACCCGTGTAAAGCATCCATGTGGAAGAGGTGCTGCTGGTTTAAGAGGAGATGGCTCCTTTACAAACAGATGTTGCAGAGATGCTCAGCTCCCACTATCAACTGTAAAATACTGATTTATTTTTATTTTTGCTGACTCTGAAACTTTCTATCTCCTCTTGTGGGGTTATTGATTATTCTACCTCAACCTTTTTGCCCTGTCCCCAGCAGCACTGGGAAGGGGATGCCTGGAGAAAGGGTGTAAGACAGAGTGAAGGTATACAATCACTCCCCTATAGCATAGGGACTGAGTCAGGCATAGTCATTCTACTATCAACCATCCCTGTGGGATTTTTCTTCCTTACAATTTGCTTTTACTTTCAGAACTCACATCGTTTCTGAATGCACAACATCCTACGTGCCTGCACAGGCAGGAGTAGGTTGCATTCAAAGCAAGGAAAAACCCGTCTGCCAGAGACGCTTAATTCCTTAATGCCCCAGCCTCAAGGGGCACTTTCAAAAAAGCAGTTAAGCCCTACCAAGTGCAGGTAGATGCCAGTGACATTTTAGACACAAAGTGCCTCATTGCCACCAGACAGGCAGGCACTTCTGAAAATCCCATGGGGCACGTAATCACCTGTAAAAAACTGGTTCTTTTGCCAGCTATTTACTGCGTCATCTGTATCCCCAGCACTGCAATGATCAGCAATAAATGCGTTTAATTCTGCGCACTAGACTCAGACGTTATTTAAAGATTGTCCTAAACTGAAATCAAAGCCCTTGGTTTTCACTTTGGTTGAAAGAGGTGGAAGAGGAGGGGGGGGTAAGAAAGAAAGTGTAATTTACCTTCAGAATTTCCCTGTGCGAATCCCAGGAACCAGGTAAAACATAATACAGTCCAGAGAAAGCAGAATCCCCTAAAATTGGAAAAGAAGAAAAAATAATGAGTTTCTACGTTAGTAACAAAAACTGGCCCTTCTGTTAAGGGCTTTCTCCTTGGTCACAAGTCTCGCGAAGCCAGTGGCAGTGTCCGCATGTCCCGGGAAATGGCGAACGGCCGCTCAGCAGAACAGCACTTGCTTCTGACTGAGATTTCATTTTACTACTTAAAAGTCATCTAAAGCCTACTGAGTTAAGCGGAAGGTTTTCCCACTGGTATTAGAGGGGACCAGACCAGTTTTGAGATGCACGTCATCAGGGCCAGGTCAGCAGTCCCTTTGCAACTGCTACTCTTTGGCACTCATCTCGTCCAGGACACCAGAAACGCAAGAGGGTGAAGAAATATTTCAAAATTGGAAGGTCAGAAGACACTCCAGAAGTGCATGTGCACGTCTGTGAGGACCCGGGTGGAAAACGGGCTGACGTGACATGTCATCTGCATCTCAGCAAACCAATTCTGAGTCCTATTGCTTTGCAACGTACTTAAAACCACAAAATCCTACATGGATCTATTCCTCTTTTTACACCCAGATGCAAAGATGGGGGGCAGCTTCCAACCACTCAGCACCCTACACTGTTGGCCACTAACGACTTCCTCATTAGCTTAATATAGCAGGAAATTTTAGAAAGCGTGAGAGCCACACTACAAGCTCACTGCGCTTGGGAGACATTTTCACGCCTGAAAGGGAATTGGACAAACCTTTCAGTCAGCTCAACTGAGCCTTGAAGTGCCAGCAGAGGCAAACTTTTACCAGAAAGGTGGCTGAAGCCCCCCCTTCCCCCATCAGCTTCCTTAATTTGTAGCCAAATAACGAACATAGGAAACTCCTTGGTTAAGCTCACTTAAAATTGCCAGTGGAAAGTCTGAAGATTGAATTCCCTCATGTTCTAGAGATGATATTTAACAACTCAATCAGCAAAGGCTGCCGGAGGAAGAGACACAAAAATGTAAACTACAGAAAGTCCTCAGCCAGAAGAACACAGCGGGGGACATCCACAGGTTGTTCTTCACTCCAGCCAAGCCAGTGCGAGCACTGGGATGCGCGGAGCAACGCCAAAGTGCCGCTTGCTCCTCTCTTCAGATCTGGCAAAGAGAAATCATTTCTCAAATGAGATTAGAGACCACTCTTCTCCTGCCATCAGGTCTCAGCTTTACCACACGAAAGCATCCTCTGAGGCAATGTATTACCCTGGGCCAGATCCTCATCCAGTTCAGGTGACCCTTTCCCACAGCTAAAATGAAGCCACAGTGATTTACAGTGGGGAAACCTGGCCTTGAATGTAAGAATCCAGGCAGAAATCCAGCCACTAACTAATATTTTAAGGCTTGAAGGGACAAAATGCTGGAGCAGCCCCGCAGTGGCTGGGAAACAAACGAGATGGACCACGTCATTCTTTGCTGTTTCCATTACCCTGACATTGGGCTGCATGTGTCAGGAGCTCTGGGGCTGCTTTAGTTTATGCATGAAGGAACAACAGCTTGGAATAGCCAAATCACGGTATTCCTTCGCCATGTCCTACAGCCAGTCATGTGCTAACCAGGAAACCCTCACTATGCTCAGGAGGTCTCCAGCTGGGGAGACTTGGTTCATCCCATGGGACACAGCTCTTGGGCTGAAGACACATCTGAGTACATGGAGAGCTGTTGTCCGAGTTCATTCAGGGCAGGTAGGAAAGGAAGCCGAATAGGAGGATTCTTCATGGCTCCCTCTAGCAGGCGACTTTTTATGACTTAAAAGAGGCTAAAATCCACTTCATGGAAAGACCTGCATTTCTGTGCTCAGGTCCAAAGGAACAACGGAGTTTCGAGATGTGGATGCAATTCCACAGGTGGACGGAGCAAAGACCTCGCCGGGTATCAGCAGCTGGGCTTGACTGCCCCTGAGAGCACGGGGAGATGAAGGGGAAGAGACGACCAACATGACATGAACTCCAAGGGCAGGAGGAGTCCCAGGCATTAAGAACACCTTTTCTCTGATGAGGTTTGGATTTGTACAGCTACGTACAAACACTGGTGCACACAATATACCTAACTCAAGTCCAGATCTTTTCTGGAGGGGTGCAGGAATACCTTCACAACCCCAAAATTGCTTCCAAAATCCCCATTGACCAACACAGTGAGGGGAACAAGCCTTAGGGGAAAATCCAGCACGAAATTTCATTCCAGTGACACTGACAGGGCTATAAAGGAGACGTATGTGCAGCGTGGGATCCAGCTGGCCTCAGCCCTGCTCCTGGACCCCTCACACAGCCAACACCGTAAGAGTTGAGAGCAAGGCCGAGTGCCAAAACACTGAAGAAAAACACTTTGGCAAAATTTACCAACTTAATGGAAAAAGCAAAAGCAGCTTCCAAATGGCAGGCCTGTGACTGATGGGGCTGTTAATTATTGCAGGATTTTACAACGCAGGCTCTTTTTCCGTTACAACTCTGCAGCGACAGGATTGCATAAGCAGCTTGAGTAGCAGTAGTAAAGGAAGATTTTTCTCCTTATATAGTGCTATCAAACCCACCTTGCCTTTATCTCGGCTTCTTCCCACAACCAGTGATTTCCACAGAGACTCTATCAAGAGCTACCCATAAAGGCATTTATTTCTTCTATTACATAGGGCCTATGAACACCAGAATGAGGACCCCACAGCCGTAGTCACTAGGTGAAGGGCCCCCACACCTATGATGTAAGCTCATGTGAACCCTAAATGTTTTCCAGTGCAAATTCCCTTTACAGCAAACTGAAACTACCGACTACAGCTTAATTTTGCTCCACCTCTTTTTGCAAACTCCTGCGATCAGTCCATGGGAACTAACCAGCATTAAAAGTGCAAGGCAAGAAACAACGGACAGAGAAGTACAAAGACCAGTAACAACACTTCTCAGCCTTGGTGGCGAATTTTGCATCTTCCCAGTGAGGACCAGGTGCATGCAGGTAGCAGCCAGGAATAAACATCCTGAGGATCTCCTGCAAAAAGCAATCAGAAGGTCTAGGTACCACTTCTGCTGGGGCTTCAAGACAGGCAGAAGGTCCCTGCACGTGGTGGTATGCACCAATCCAGAGACCTGATGAATTCATGACTGCTACTTAGCATATAATTGCAAAGCTGTAGCTTTCAGCTTCCAGAGCCATTTGCCATCTTTTTACCGAGCATTAAGAAATCAGACTTCTGAGAGCAGCAAGTTGTGGCTAAGGAAGAGTTATCACCTCTCCAGGTGGCTTGTGCACAGTGTGTCTCGCTGCTATAACTCCCAGTAAAGTCATGTTCAGGGTGGCAACCTCAAGAGAAAATGTAAAGGAAAAATCCTGTTGAATGTATCGGTTCTTACCTGACACCCATTGGCTTTTGTAACAGATGAATAAAGCACTACACTGAACTAAAGACAGTTGTAGGACAACAGCCTTTAGGGTAGACTTGGTCAGGAATTATCGATAACAAAGTTTGACTAAGCTGAAACAATTCGTAAAATAGTTGTAACCAGCTAATTCTTCATTTCGTGATTTCTGGAATTGGATGGAACAATTTCACCATTTCTGAATTAAAAGTTTTGCCCCTACCTTAAAAAAAAAAAGTCCAAACAGTTTTGATGTCTTGTTTGCTTAGATGATAGGTCAAAGCTGAAAAGGTTGCAAAGGCCCAAGGTAGCATTTATTTTTTTGTGTGTTTTTTCTCCCTCATTTACAGTGGGGAACGTCTTTGACATTACAAACACTTTTGCAGCGTGGAAAAATGATTCCCCTCCACTGTCTGCCATTCAGGTACATTTTCTTCTGTCCAAGAGACCAGAAGGCAGCTGGATGCTGAAAATTGCTTTGCAAGAAAAGCAAATCTCCATTTCTAGCTGTAGATCAGACAAGGTATCTTAAAAGGAGAAAACGTCTACATTGGCCAAGATCCTTTGCACATGACCAGAGGTGATATTTGTAAGACTCCCAAACAGGTCTGACAGTCAACAGGAAACAAACAAACAAAAAAATCACAACCTACATGCTGAGGCTTTAAATTGCACCATGGCATCGATTCCGCTCCCAGCTTTTCGAGGTGGAAATCTTATTTTGTACTAGTGTCATCCTTTGCACAGCAGATTTCTGCTCCCTTTCTGGGGCTTCTGGAAACTATGGCATTTCTCCTCTCACCCTCAGTTTCTGGAGAGAGCAAGGAGAACGTATCATTATGTAGATGTCCCTGTATCGACCCTGTACAGTCTTTTGCTGGACCTTTTCTGCAGTATAAACCAGTTATTGATTTACGCCTCCAGTCAAAGATTTTGTCGGGTACATGCAGGCACTGTTGCAAAAGACAGCATGCTAACTCCGAGAGTTTCTGAGATGACTGAAATGGTATTCATTTTTAACCCCCATTATGCATCTATATTTTTAAGAAAAAGGAGAAAGCAGATATGGCGCAGATACATTTCCAAGGTCATTTAAAAACGCTGAGAAATCTAAGAGTGATCTGGAAACTGTCAGTATTAAGTGGAGAAGAATGACAGTCAGTACCTCTCTGAGATTTTAATGTTCAAAAAAGTTCCCCAAAATATCATCCAAGTACACAAAACATCCAGAATCTAACTCACCACTTCTGGGCACATGTTTATCAAAACAGATTTTCAGATGCCAACTAGAAAGTCATTGCACATCCAGCTGTGAGGAGAAAGGATGAAGATGCGGGATGCCAGCGTGGCTGCCTGAGCCGTAACAGCACCCTGAGCAGGGCACGAAGCAGAGGGTTTAAAGACTGACCCACTGTTATCACTGGAGACTCCAGTAGCCCAAATGGATGGGAAACTCTCTAGGTCAGGCTCCAACCCATCCTTGGGGTGATCCTGAACAGGAACATCTCAGTTGCTCCACCCTGCCCCAGAGTTTGGAACGTGCGCACAAAACATAAAAAGTTCCTAGGGAATTCTGGCACCATTTCTGCCAAATCTAATCTTAATTCAGGGTGAATACGCCCCAAGTACTGTGCCTGTAGAGGTTTATCTCAGGGTTTTGGCAACTGTGGCCCAGAAAAAGCTGCTGCTCCCTTCGGAGGAGGCCCCTGGTAGCGTAAGAGGCATCCAACAGGTCTGATGAAAGGGAGGAATGGTACTTGCAAAGGGGAGGGACATCAGCCCCTGGAGATGGTACAGCAGTAGGTCTCAAGTGCTGCAAAGCAGCTTTGCTCTCCTAAAAGCTTGACCATCAGCCAGCCACAAGGAAGGTATGGGTGCATAAAGGCCTGGTATTTACTCCCCCAGCACCTATAGCTCCTCTTAGGTTTTCTCTGGGAGGGAAACGTAGTACACAGAACATGGAGATGATGAAGCATCAGTGTGGCCAATCCTCCCTTCTGCAGATACTTCCTACCTTGTTCTTTCAAGGATTTATGTCGCTATCTGCAGAGGGAAGGCTGATGGGTTTCAAACCACTGGTCCTTGTCCTCCTAATTGGGAACTAGAGCTTGTGCACTCGCTGCACAGAGCTGGCCCAGAGCCAACCAGCTCCTCTGAGCTCCTGCCCACAACCTGCTTCCTCCCCTGCCAGATGCAAGACCGAGGAGGCTGCGATGACTCAGATACCCTCCCAGATACCTCCCAGCAACTTCCTACAATGAGGGGGGATCTTTCCTGACAATCCATTACTTGGTCTCCTCTGTGCTCACCACCCCTCTCTCTCTGGGTTATTGACTTTGCTGCTGTGCAAAGCGACAACACTCGCTACTGGCCTTTGCCTTTGTGTTCTCAGTCAGCAACTGGAGCCCTCGACAAACAGAAGTGCTAAGCGTGATCTGTCATCTAACTCTTTTTTTGTCCTTCCAACAAACACCTTTGCATTCCTTCGTTTTGTGAATGGGGTTTGGCAGAGCCGTATAGAATTCCCCATTGTTTCCATTTGCACTTCAGTAAGCGTCCATCATTTCTACTTCTGCCCCCAACAAATTGGCAAAGAAAGAGAGAGGGGGGGGAAAAAACCCCACATGCTCTGTGTCTGTCTCTGGTTAGAAATTTCCTACAACATTTCAGGCCTTCCTGGGGGCTGACCCACCTTGGTGGTGCCAGGTGGGTGCTGACCACCCTGCACGCAGCCTTCTCATCCAGCACACGGGCCAGGCAACCCCAAAACACCGTTACACCAGCAACCTGGGGCTGTGACCAGAGCATCAGGCAAGCATCCTCCATGGCCAGCATACAGTGCTGGGGCTGAAAGGGATCAAGGTGGCACAACCACAGCTGAACAGCACAAGTGTTATGGTCTGGACATGCTCTCGATGCACAGCTGAGTACAAAGCCTTCTTCTGTGGTTTACTGAGCCTGCACTCGCTAAAAATGCATCAACAGGAAAGATCAAGAGGAGCATTTTAAGCTTGCAGAGCCTGTAACACTTTGTGTTCTTCTGGTTTTACAAGCTTTGGCTGCTCGAGCCAGGACAAGGCTTCAGTACACTTTGCAACTGCTTCTCCTTCCCTGGTGAGCCAGTCCTCCCACTCGCATCCATGGGTTATCTCCTGCACCTCTGGCAGCTCCTTGGTCACCAGCACCCCTCTGAAAGATGCTGCAGGAGTGCTGGGACAAGCGAGATCCCCAGTGCCACATGGGAACACACCAGAAGGTTCCTGTTACCAGCTGCCTTCAAGCAGCACCGCCTTCACCCACCCTGAGGAAGACTTGGTAGCACAAGGGTGGCTTGGCAAGCACAGGCACAAGCCAGGTCTGGGCTCAGAGGACCCTCTCCAAGACTAATAGCCTCAATGGGAACATCCAGCTGTGGGAACGGTAGGATGCACAGCACTCAATTCTGCCAAGCAAATCAAAACCCAGCACCAAAAAGCCTGTCGGGAGATAATGCAAAGGGCAGCAAGCGACCTCTGCTGAGGAGGGAACGGATCAGCAGCACGCTGGCGAGGTGTTTAAGACACAGGAGATCCTGGGAACAAAAGGCACACGTTTTCAGAGTCACCAGAAAAGACCAAAGCACACATTTCCCATAGCACTGCAACACTCAAACCCAGTGCAGGCATGCACAGTGCCTGCCTGGGACACCAAGATGCTAGAATGGATATAGACCTCCGGGGAGCCGGCAGCCACGCTGCCTTCTCCTGGGTCCCTGTTTCCTAACCTTGTCCTCAGCAGGGTCCGATTTGCCCTGGGACTTGAGCAGGACCTCCCTGTCCTCGTCTGTCGTACTATCACAGTTGTGCTCACGAGTTGGTGCTCTGGGCAGCGGCTGGGGCCCCGGCCCTTCCCCTCGCTGTAACGTGCCACCGCGCTCGGTCTGTCAAAGGAATCTTTATCTGTCTGCTCCCCTTTCGACTTCTCCATTTTTCACAGCCAGCCACCCTCGCAGGGTCCCGGTCGGGCATTTCTCTCCAGCCCATACCCAACATTAAAATCGTGTGACTGGGAGATGCTGCAGTTACCAGCCCCTCCAGACATGCCACAGCCACGTCTAGGAAAAAGAAAAAAAACCCAACCAAACCCTAAAGCACTGAAATTCAGACCTGTTGAGTACATAAAAAGACAAAAAACATCTCAAGGAGAGCCGGTCGCAGCCCTGGGAGCGGTTCTGAGCTCCCCACATAACTTCACACACACAGACACATGCAGGCAGAGCCCTAGAAAGGAAGCTGCACATTCATCCACGTCCAGACTCCGGCGCTGCGCTCCGGGGGCGGCTGCCAGGAGCCGGGTGACCTTCAGGGTGAAAAGGGGGGATGCCCCCAAAACCCTTCTCCCCATTTCCACCCCATCTCACAGCCC